CTTGCGGGCTTTTTTCCTGTGAGCTTTTATACCTGTGAGCATTATTTCTGTGAGCATTTTTCCTGTGGGTATTTTTCCGGTCACCGTTATCGTGATACTACCAAAGATAATGAAAAAGTCACTTTTATATGAATAATGAAAATGCATTTCATAATGTGAAACAAAACCTTCGTTAACACCGAATTCCCATCCTTAAGCGAGTGGGGTAAGACTGCTGAACTCTGGTAGTTTGAGCTAATTTTAAATCAGGTGGTCGAGCTGGTTGCATGCGTACTTTTTTTATCCTGATGTGTAACAGGAATATGAGCTAGTTTGAGGTAGGAATATGAGCTAGTTTGCACTCCACTAGTAAGAGGAAGTGCTCTACAAAAGCAGTGTCCTCTTACGCAGATACCTTTCGTGTACTTGGCCTTTATCAGTTAACCTTTCAGACGACTGCGAAAACAGTACCCATAGATTATCCAAAATGGCTCCAATCGTTTAATGTAAATAAATGGAATTCTGTAATATAAATTTTGATTTTTATGTTTATGGAAATTACAAAAAGATAAGTTTAAAGCTAATAATCCATTAGAATATTAACTAATCATAACGAAAAATTTCTTATTTTCCCCGATTTCTCAATGTTTATGAATACTTCAGTAAAACTTCTTGAAGATCAGTCAATAAAACATCTTGAACAACTGAAACATCTTCAGTAACTTTCATCTGTTCTTGATCTATGCATCTTAAACCGTTATGACATGATGTTGTTCCCTCTTAGCTGCAATGATGTAAAAATCCATTATTTTAGTTTTGCATTAATTTTGCATCTTCATGTGAGATATCAAATTTGTATAGGTTATTTTAAGTTTCTAACAGTTAAGTTTAAACATGCTTTACTGAGGCTTCGACTAAGTCAGCTTAGTTTTGTATTAGATTTTTCTTAACTTGATCTGAAGCCCGAGTGGAGGCTTCCCTGTAAGCCCGAAAAGGGGCCGTCTGTAAATATTTCTTTGAGTGAATAAAGGATATTTTAACCCTTCTCTGGACTTTGTCGTTACCTACTTGAACTCAGCGATGAGTCGCTTTACAGCATAGATCAAGTTCGTTCAGCATAGATCAAGAAGACATGAAAGTTATAAATTCATAGAAAATATAATGTCGGATAATGTATTTATGCAATGAGATTTATGAAGATTTAAGAATGTTTTTTAAATATACCACTATTAAATTTTTGAAGGGAATATGCATTAAAATAAATATTATTGATGAATAGCTTAAAAGCATTGTTGTGTAACTCAAGTTCTTTGCTTGTCATACTAAGCCGCTCTAGATGGTACAGAGGGTAGCGTAGACCGAGTCTAAGGGAATAATATCGACTTCAGCATAAGCTTGAGCTATGTGTGTTTGTCCTGCTCTTAAGTCTATCCTTATTAATTGTTATAAGTCTATCCCCTGTTTAGCCAGCCCCCCAAGTAAATATAGATTTGTTTACCATTACGTCATTATTTTATTATTTTATTATTTTCGTTAAGAAATCTTTCTCTCCATCATCTTTCCCCTTCAGAGGGAATACCTATATCGGGGTCGTGGTAAATCACAAATAAGGCTAAACATTGCTATAAAACACTTTTAATGTATGCGATCCATTTCATATTCAACAACTAATTTAAAAACTCTTACATTATTCAAAATTTAACAAAGTGGCTACAAGGAATTCATTGTTTTCTGAAAAATCAGAGTATGAAAGTATTTGGGTAAATAATTAAAAAAACTTTAAGGTTTTATTCGATTGCCTAATTATTCAGTATTTCATTTAAAAATAGGTATTCATTTAGAATTTAGTAAACTAAATTGGACTCATCCGATAGCAAGACGTTATAATTTATAGTTTTAGATTCGATTCTAATTCGATAAGAAACAAGTTATAAAAAATCGAGAGAATTTGAATCAAAAAGGAGATGTATGTCTTAAACACCCCTGCAATTTTCAGAATATTTAAGTTATACTAATGTATTCAAAATGCTCCCGGTAATGCTCGTGTTTTTATCTAAAATGTACAAAATCGTCGTCTAGTGCCTTATGCAGTAACAGCCAGTGGAGGCCATACATTTCTATGCAGAATCATTAGATTACTTTGAAGAAGGAAACGTGAAAAATGTGCAATGCCTTCGCCGAGACTCGAACCTGGATCTCTCGAATACTCGCCGAGTGTGGTAATCGTGAAACCAAGAAGGCATGTTGGAAGAGGACACTCGTATATTACAGTACATTGCCTTATATCTAGAGCGTTCCTAACATTTCTGAAAACATATAGTAAAAAAGGCTTTTGTATCGCATCTAGAGGAAACGCACCTAAAAAAATTGCACTAAATTTCGATGCTTTTTCGAGCTTTTTCCTTCCGTGAATACGAAAGATTCCAACTTCCACTTAAATCAGTACTTCTGGAACAAGAGAAGATATCAGGGATGAATAAACAAAATTTGATTTAATGAGAACATGAAACAACATTTCTGTCTGTGCGCCCCCCTTGAATACATTTAATAAAATATGGCTACGATTTGGAATGCTAAATAATAAAATTCGCTACCTATGCTAGTTTAAAAAAGTATGTTATATTTATTTTGCTAAGCATCCTTTATTTGCTTGCAATTGATGTCATGATAGATGCGGAGTTACATTGGAAAAAAGACATAAGAACGCTAGAATGGCGCTATATTTTCTATTCTTGAAAAATGGAGCTAGATAAATCATTTTTTATCGACGCGCTTATTTAAATATAGAAGCGAAAAAATTAAAAAGGGGATACAGAAACGAGATGGAAAAACTCAACATTATAGGGCAGGAATTTTATATTTTTAGAAATGTAAAACAGTGATTGACTTGAATTCCTCACTATTAAACATTTTTAAAAAAGGAAATCGATTTCTGAAGACAGAAGCACTTCATTTCTGATTCCAATTCTGGCTCATGGCTTCGACATCAAGCCAAACGTAGAATAGCTGTCTTTCAAAGTAACTATTTCCTGCTGCTCTTGTAATAATCGGTTCAATGCTGTAGTTACTTTTATGATGGATGATAGAGCACGTCAGATTTCAGCCGTAGTGCTTTGCGCTAATGACAGACCCGTTAACAGTTTGTAAACTGACGTTTATCCAGCTGTACAGTTGCCTGTGCGATTCGCATAAGAATTTCCAAGTCACCACTGCTGTAAATATCCCGTAATATTTCGTGTATCCCATCACGGACATCAGCAACACCTGCAAATCATTCACCTTCAAATACACCCATTGTAAAGACTTTAGGTATTTTTTGGAAGCAGGCAAGATGAAAAATTAGCAACGCTTTCTCCGGAATTCGAACCACGGACCTCTGGAATACCGGCCCAGCGTGCAGACCACTACACCACGAATGCACGCTAGGAAAAGAGAAATATCTTATACCGTAATAATGTCAAAGTATCCAAAAACGTGTTTCACACGGATCATAGAATTAACATAACGTGATTTAATTCTGTCCAGTTTGTTTATCGCTCAGGTATTTTTGTGGTGATAGCTCTCAAAGCCTACATAACATCTTATAGTTCTTGTATTTAACCTAGCTAAGTTATTTGGAACCAACAGCAAGTGTTTCAATACTACAAGCAACAAATGTGAGAAAACAAAAAATCTGAAAAAAATGCAGACAATAACCACTATATTTTCACTTGCAAAAAAACCTTTTTTCATCTGTGTTACTTCCAGTGCAGAACTTACATATAAGATACCCAAGGTATAAGATTGCCTTCGTGGTGTGGTGGAACTTACATATAAGATACCAAGGAACTTACATATAAGATACCTTAGGGCCCCACCCAAAAACCATCTAGGTATCCGAAAACCATATTTGGGACTGACATATAATATCTGGATATATATAGGGCCCCATATCTCAAATAGTATAGGGCCTTATCAAGTCTAAATCCGGCTCTGGTTACTGCTTACTTTTTTATCATTAAACTGTTAATTCATTGAATCTGTATTGGCAATGAGTTATATCTCAAACAGTATAACAACCGAGCATTTAGGAAATATAGGACTATCAGGCCGTGTTTAGTTAACTGCTTTCTAATTTTACGGAAATTCAAGGTTGTTAGTGGATCATGATAACCGTTGAAATATATCAACATTGCCAGAACTTTTGGAAATAAAAATACGCCTAATAAATACAGTTTAAATTGTGTTAAAATGAGTGTTTCATTATATCTACGCTAAATACAGGTTGTTTTTACGATTTTGATTGTCACATTAGCGTGTTTCTCTTCTAGTTCTAGTCTATAGTTTAAATTTATTTAGATTCCCCCAGACGGTGTAATGTTGAATCACGCTGACTGGCGTACCGATGAGCCCGGGTTGGAATCCCTAAGGAATGAATGCTTTTAAATGCATAGTATCTGTGCGCTATGGAGGCTCTCAAAATATAGGCTAAATCGAAAGTTCTCTCGACTGGTTTGATGGCGGGGAAATAGAGGTAAGAGACCCTTGGACACATCCTCAGAGGTATTCTCCTTGGGGCGGAGCTGGGTAAAGTCGTACTATCACCTGTACGGTGTTTAACTCATCCCAATGACAAAGACAGTCTTGCCCTCCTTGCAACAATAAAATCCGTGTTCTTGTTCCGATTAGATCAGACAAGTGAGATTAGCCACAATAACAAATCTATTTAGTCCAAGAACTCTTTAAAATCAACTCAACGTTGAATAATCTAAATCATTCCTTAGGAAATAAAATAATATACCTCCGCTTTCCAGCATTTTTGACGCAGATGTTGTCATTTTAAAGTCTGCGCAGACTTTAAAATAACAACATCTCAATGACAATAACATCAGACAAAATTCTCCAAATTATCCACTCCAATCTATAAGCGGTGCATAGACAGCAGAATTTTGAACTTATGAATTTTAAACGGATGTTATTATTTCTTCAATGTGTTTTTATTGCATCGCTTCTCATAATTATTTTCATATGTTTACTTTCAGATACTGCTTTCTTTGGCAGCGCATGCTGCTAATGCAATGTATCCAATGGAATACGTCGAACTTTCCCGTCTTCCTGCTGCAACTAAATTCGATTCCTCGGAAGATATATTTGCAATTCGAAAATCGGATGACGACAGCGATTATGATGATTCTTCGAGTTCTGAATCTGATGAAACGAAAGCTGAGTTCCGAAGCGATGAATCAGACTTTAATTTTTCTAATTCTAGAAGAAATGAAGATAGGTGGACCGATCAGGATTCCAACGAATCTAATAAATACAATGATTTCGAAGAAAATGATGCACTGTTCTCTTCAGAGTCATCGGCAAAAAGAAAACGTGATGATTATTACGATAATTTGGGGAAAAAATCTAAGAGTTCTTTCTATATTTCTCCTCTTCGAAATGACAAGGAAGATGAATCCGAAGAAAAAATAGGCAATACAGATGCAGAAGAAGAACACTATGTTGCTGAAGAATCTTCGAATCAGAGGAGTAAGTCTAAATTGTCAGATTATGATGACTATTATCCCCAAAAGAATGGCAATGCTGAATCCCAGTCTTACAACCATCAAACCAGGGAAGATTCCTATCAAGCATCCTCTTCCAGATATATCCCACAATTAACTCTGCCTCTGAGAACTGAATCTTTGCAAGATCCTCCAGCAAGAAGGGCGTCACGAAGCAGGAGATATCACCCAAGACCACGTCCGATTCCAATAGACGATATCACATCGGTTGAGAATTCAGAACACCACAATATTTCCCCTTATCCTCATTCGCCCAAGCCAGCTCCTCAGGTCCAAAGGCGCAGATACGAGAAAAAACATTCTTCGAAGAGACCTGCAGAATCATACGTACGCCAGACATACACACATGACGGAACCAAGTTTACAAAGAGGAGGCCAAAACCATTGGTGAAAGAAAGCAGAGACTTTGCTCAATATTCTGTTCAAGCTGACGTTCCATCCTTCCCTAAAGGTTACGGAAAAGCTACAAGAGAGCAATTCCACGAACAAGTACGTACAACTTTAATTTAAAAAAGTAGGCTTAATACCTTTATTGAATACAGAATGCTTAAAAGGAAATAATAATTAGAGCTATTTCACTAGTTTCGTAGTGGAGGAACTAGAAATTTGCAAAAGAATGAATATTTTGTAGAATAATTGACCAAACTCGAACTCTCCAGCTTTATTGCAATACTTTAAACAAAACAAGCTTCTCTATAAATACAGTTACAAAAAGTTAGTTTATAAGATAGGTAACTCAAAATAAAAGTTTTATATTTTTCTGTCACTCAAATGATGTGTTTTACATAATTGAGCGTAATGCAAGCTTAAGAAAAAAAAAAAAAAAAAAGAAATTGTGACGAGAAAGGGCCGGGAACCCGTTTTAAGGAAATCTTGGAAAGAAAAAAAGTTTGATATTTTAGAAAATTGAGTTCAAACATTCTAATACACTCATGTACATAAATTAAGGATGATGCAAAATCAGGCAAAGGAAGAGTTAGAAGCAAAACAAATTTGACTTATTTGTAAAGCTTATTTATTAAACAAAAGGTAAAGAGCAAAAAAGATGCTGTTATGTTTGATATTATTAAAAAAATTAGCGATTTTTTCTCCCTGGAGCAAATTAAAAAAAAAAAAAAAAAAAAAAAAAAAACTATTTACAAAAAACCCAATATTACATGGTTGGTATGATTGTTAATACATTGTATGTCTCCCAGACGATGCAATACAGTCCGTACAACGCCTAGGCATGCTGAGTATCAAATTATCGATCTGATCTTGGGGGATATTACACCATTCAAAAAGCAATGCTCTCCGAAGTTCCGGTAGACATGTAGGAGGAGGTTGACGGGCTGCAACTCGTCGGCCAAGCATGTCCCACACGTGCTCTACTGGATTCAAGTCCGGTGAGAATGCTGGCCAGTCCATACGGGTGATATCCTCCGATTGAAGGCATTCGCTTACGATGTTTGCACGGTGAGGACGGGCGTTGTCATCCATAAACAAAAATTGTGCGCCCATGGCGCCCCGAAACAAACGTACATGTTGTTCCAGAATGACGTCCCGATAGATTTGGCTTGTCATGGTTCCAATTTGAACATGCAGGTCAGTTCTGGAACCCAGAATAATTCCACCCCAAACGAGCACTCCTGCACCACCGTAACGGTGTCGTTCAATGATGTTTTCTTGGTGGTAACGGGTACCTGGAGCTCTCCATATGAAAGTCCGGCGAGAATCAGACTGCAAGCTAAACCTGGACTCGTCGGAAAACATCACACAAGCCCACTGTTGCGGTGTCCACAATGCATGCTCTCTACTCCAGGCTAACCGCAGGCGACAGTGAGTTGCAGTAAGTGGAACGCATCTGACAGGTCTACGAGCATATAGACCAATCTGCCCTAAGCGTCTGTACACGGTCTGCCTTGAAATTGTCGTACCAGTGGCTGAAGAGAGCTGACGAGACAGGTCTGAGGCTGTGCTCCGCCTGTTTCTTTTGGCAGTAACTGCCAAATACCGGTCCTCATTCGGCGTTGTAACTCTGGGGCGACCTGTGCTGTAACGTCTACTCACATTACCATCATCTTGGAATCGTTGCCAAAGCCTGGAGATGACACTCTGGGCAATTCCAAGTTCGTCTGATACTTCTAGTTGGGTACGCCCACATTCTAGACGGCCGATAATTCTACCACGTAAAAAATCATCTAAATGCGTCCTTTGTGTCATAACTATTCTGTTATTGCACTGAAACGCTTATAAAGCGCCTGCGAACAATTTTACTTCTTTGCCTGTATTCCTTATATATCACTCTCTTACACTCTCGTCATTGTGACGTACCATCGGTGTCATCTGGTTACTTCCTGAAATTTGCATATGATTCTTGAAGATGTATATGTAGTGATTTTACAGGTGATATATTTATTTTAGAGTTCGATTTCCGCTTGACTCCGAATTATCCTTAATTTATGGACATGAGTATACTATAAATTGGTTCGAGTATATAATATATTAAGAATATCACCAGGGCCTACTGGCGGCCGAGTGGGTAAAAGTCGCGGAACATTGGTAGTTCGTCCGAGGTTCGAATCTCGCGAACGGGCTGGTTGCAAGGGTGTTTTCGTGATTTTTCCCATGTGTAAGATGTATACGAGCAAGTTTCCCTTAGAAAGTCTTTCACGAAGGCCTTCCTCTTCTTAGGCAGATTGCTCTCGATACTTTGCTGTAATCTCATAAAACCAAACCAAAACCAAGAATATTAACATGATAGTTATAGGAACTCTAGAGCTGTATAATTTGCAAGACATCTAGAACATTTAGTTTCTGGCTACTTGAGCATTCCAGTTTTATTTTCTCGCGGAATATTTCTTTCAAAAGTAGCATTAGAGTAATAAATGGATATTTAGATAACTAGAAGAGAATATAAATGACAGAACCTAACCTCTTTTATATATTGTGGCTAATATCCTTACATATGCAACAGTCGGGACATTTTCTATAAAAGCGGATAGCAGTATACAAAAAGAAGTTGATTTCAGCACTACTGTTTATCATAAACCAATTTGTTTGACATCCTACACTAAATTACGTCCCTTTGTTAAACAAAAAATGGCTTCTAATTACTCTTACGCACATCGCGTTCTCAAAGTTTGTTCTTTCGAATCGTTGCTTTCTCAGGAAATCAGTTACTTGAAATTGATTGCCATTGACAGAGAATTTCTCCGATGGTCACTGATGAAGCCTTTAAAATGTTTCCTCTTGTAACCATAGAAGACATTATGTTCTAAAATTGCTAAAATTAACATTCATAACCTTATCATTCCTGCCTATTAGTTACAAAATCGCACCGATTCTCCAGAATTTCAAGTTTCAGGTCATTTTCTCATCTATCGGAGTGAAATTATTTATTCTATTCTAAAAGGTTCCATCTCCGACTTTAATTCTTGGGTAAATATTAACAGTAGAGCTCACAAGAAATAAAATGGGTTTTGGTTTAACGACCGATAAAAAGTTATTCCGATCGATGTTCCACAAGCCATTTGGTACAGCTCTTGTTTTCGATAATCTCTGAAAAGTCCTTATGTGACGAGTCGACTGTGAATTGTAAGTTATTTAAATATGTTAGTCTTAAATTTAAATAACTTACAATATGATAAAATTTTAAGAAGTATATTTGAAATACTGATTTTGATAACAGTCTCCTCTCTTTTAAGTTATCAAATTAGAGCACTACAAGTGGTATCCTAATTGTCCTTTATCACTCTAGTTTGCATTTGTTGTCCAAGTATGCTAGTGATTTCTGCCATTTCCAGGTGTCTATACACTTACAAGAATCGTCTGATATAATTATAAGGTATTTCTCCCACCTTCTTGGCGTGGCTTCGTGGTGTGGTGGTCTGCACACAGGGCCGGTTTTCCAGAGGTCTGTGGTTCGATTCCCGGCGAAGGCGATAACTCATTTTTCATCTCTATGGCTTCGAAAATATCCTAATGTCTCTATATTGGCCCCCGAATTGAAAGAGTGGTGGATGATGATTCTCCCCACCCAGGATTTGGCGACTGAGTCCCCTACAAACCCCAGTCGCCCTTTTAAAAATGGGGGAGTATATAAGGTATTACTCCCGCCTTCCTAGCGTGCCTTCGTGATGTAGAGGTTCTGCACGCTGGGCCGGTATTCCACAGATCCGTGGTTCGATTCCCAGCGAAGGCGTTGCTAACTTTTCATCTCTCTAGCCTCCAAAATATACCTAATGTCTCTACAGTGGCTCCCGAACTAAAAGGGTGGTGGATGATGATTTCTCCCCACCCAGGATTTGGCGACTGCGTCCTGTAAAAGCCCCAGTCGCCCTTTAAAAGGGGGAGTATATAAGGTATTTCTCCCACCTTCTTGGCGTGCCTTCGTGGTATGGTGGTCTGCACACTGGGCCGGTATTCCAAGGTCCGTGGTTCGATTCCCGGCGAAGGCGTTGCTAATTTTTCATCTTGCCTGCTCTAAAAAAAATACCTAATGTCTCAACATAATGACCTGGATTCTGAAGCATTATTTCTAATTTGAAGTGTTAGTTTGGATGTACTTACGTAGTTCGACAAAAAATGGCCGAAGATGCGTGTTTAAAGATGCATCAGTTTGTTTCTACTGCTTAGATTTCAGTATTATCACTGCTGATTTGCACAGACAGATTCCAGATAATTGAAAGCAAAATTTTAAAAACCATATTTCTCATACTAAACTAGCTGCTGATTCATTGTTTCCGAATTTAACACCTCAGAAGGAAAATTACAGTTATTTTGTTCTCAGATTCTATTTAAAGATACGTAGGTTGACCAAAGATGAAAAGGTAAAAAAATGAATGTTTAGTTCGAACAAAATAATCTTCCTTAAATTCAGTTTCTCAAAGCTTTTCATTGCCAACCCATGGGTAGAGAACAACATCAAAAACTAAGCTAGAGCATTCTGAGAAACTGAAGATGGTATCTTAAACGTCCGAATTCATGCTCTAATAAATCCGTTTCCCTTATTCCCATTAAGACCAGAACACGCAAGTTAAACATCATGACTGCAGAGTTTTCCACACGTTATTTTCAATGCTTATTTAACTTTTTACTCTTTTATACGATGATAATTTACACGAACCGATTTAATAGTAGGCTGAGTTTGAAACTACAAAGCACAAATGCTGTGCTCTGTTTCACTCATCATAGTATTCAAATGTGCAGATGTATTCACTTCTGAACTGAATATAACGCTTACAAACCGGTTGCTAAAGTTCTTATTCTAACGCAAATTGCAAGTGGCCGTTCTGGTGCTGCAATAATTGTTGCAAATCGATCATATCGTAAGTTCTTTGTAATCGTCATTTTACCTTGGTCGTTAGTGGGAAGCTAGGTCAATGAAATCCTGAGTTAACAGAATACTGGGTTAGGCTAAAGGCATCTGCAAACTAAGTTTCTAATACTTACTATGGAAAATAGACCAAAGGATGGAAAAGCAAACAATTTTGTGCCAGGCATGAAATCTATATTGCCAGAAAATGTGTTTATTAATTAAACTAATGCTTCAAATGTTCGCATCATTAATCAAGTGAACATACTGTAAGGGTACATTGATTTCAAATTATATCAATTAGTTTCATTAAGAAATAAAATAACTACTTTAATTATTTAGATGTGAGTATATTTCTTTTAAATCACTCAGATTTTTAAGCAGTTACACACTTTAATTTGAAAGAGTGTACAGACATTAGCTTTTTTTTATATGCGGGACACATGAAAAATGAGCAACCTGAAAAATGAGCCGGGGCTCGAACCTGGACCTCTCGAATACGCGCCGAGTGTGCTAACCGTTACACCGCGAAGGCATGCAGAATGGAGGGGGAAAATATTTAAAAAAATTTCTCATTTTTTTTGCCAAATAGCAAAACACTGAAAATTGGAATATACGAGAGCTCGCGTACAAAATAAAGGCTTCATGTTTTACGCAGTGGCAACGCCTGTCCAGGGCAGTGGGTGACATGGTAGCGTAACGTAACATATCGATACAAAAATTTTAGAAAGACTCTACTACGGACGTTTCTTACATCAATTTATAAATTAAAATCAGATTTCATTTAATAGAACTTTAGCCAATTTTTCTTTCAGGCAAAGCATTTTTACTAAACTCACTGACTTTAAAACGATACTTTTTCCCTACGAAATTAAATTTCTTTCCTTCTTCAATAAATTTTGTTTTTCCGTATTCGAAAAAATTTATTCCATAAGTAGAGTGTATTTTTCACGCATTCTTTTGCTATTGTTAACTTTCAAGGTATTTCCCAAATCGCAAGATTTATCTTTAGGTTTTATTTCATATACATGAATATTTTGCGTCGAAGTAGTGACTAAAATCTTACCATTTTTTCATGACGAAATTTCTCGCTCCATATGTACTCAGTTATCCAAGCAAATTATTTGAGCATAGAATAATTTCTCAATACCTAATGGGATTTTCAAGAAAGAATTTCTCATTAATAATAATAGATAAAGCTTAATCTCAGATGAGCTCTGTCTTCCGGAGACATTAGGTACACTCAGCTGCTAAATCCTTCACGATACCTTGCTTAAAACAGAGTATTTATTCAACGCAAATACACTCTTTTGTAAAAAATTCGAAGCACCAAGGACTTTTGCGATCGTGACGAAATTTGGTATGCAAAAACATCTTTGATCGAACATGCAAATGATCAAAGTTTCAAGGCAAATGAACAGGACTTGCGATCATAGCGCGTAATTCGCAAAGTATAAAACCAATAAAGAGGCGGAAAATTTATCTTTTTTTGTTGCTTCCATTGTAATTCCGTGAAGAAGCAACTAACGATGCCATTATGATGATATCGAAGACCTTACAGACAATTAAACGACTTCGAACGTGGTCGCATTGTAGGGTTGCGTGAAGCTGGGTGGTCATACCGAGCAATAGGCCGCCACCTGCAGCGTACAGACGCTGCTGTTCAAAGATGTTGGCAGCAATGGTTGCTACAAGGAAACTGCCGACGAAGTGAATGAAGGCTCTGAAAGGCCAAGGATCAAAAATGCGAGGCAAGATAGGATGATTGTTCGCCAGGCCCGAACCACCCCAACGGTATATTGTCGACTATTCAACGCACTACAGCCACGTCTATACCTCTCACAGAAAAGAACTTTACCTTTAGTCAGAAAAATATTGAAAGAATTAGAAATTACATGAATGAAAATATTATAAAGTATTCGCGCAGCAAAGTTCCTTAGTACACTGTTGTTATGAGTCAAACGTAGGGTGTAGAACTTAGGAATTCTGAGGTATAAAGAAGTAAAAACTTTTCGCTGAAAGAATTTAAAACCCAAGTATTTTTAATAAAGTATTCTTTATGTAACAAAGGATTAGGCAAGTACGAAAGCTTGTTAATTTGTCAAAGCTTCATCAAACTGTATTAACAAATCCTTAAATGCAGTACCCTCGATTTTACCATCATTTCCTGAAATAAAATATGCAATGAGTTGAGAATTTCTCCATCGTAAAGAAATACATAATAATTCATATAGATACGTTTCGCAAGGGGCTATGCAAAAGAGTAGAGAATTTAAGTGAGTATGATATAAGGTATTTCTCCCGCCTTCCTAGCGTGCCTTCGTAGTGTAGTGGTTCTGCAGGCTGGGCCGGTATTCCAGTGGTCCGTGGTTCGATTCCCGGCGAAAGCGATTGCTCATTTTTCATCTTGCCTGGTTCCAAAAAAATTCTAATGTCTCTACAGAGGCGCCCGAACTAAAAAGGTGGTGGATGAAGATTTCTCCCCACTCAGAATTTGGCGAATTTGGGTCCCCTTAAAAAAAAAAAAAAAAAAAAAACCATCGCTCTTTAAAAGGGGGAGTATATAAGGTATTTTTACCGCCTTCCTAGCATTCCTTCTTGGTGTAGTTGTTCTGCACGCTGGGCCGGTATTCCAGAGGTCCATGGTTCGATTCCCGGCGAAGGCGTTCACATATTTTTCAATCTCTCTTGCTTCCAAAAATTCCCAATGTCTCTACAATGATAAGGCAAAGAAACAAATCAAGCTTTCGAAAGTGAAAAATGAAACTTTTTTAGTAGCCGTCTTCGAGCAATTTTGCTAGAAACTTTAAGCCGTACTTGTCAAAATTTTAAGATCATTCGTTACTAGCCAAAGTGAAGTTAAATTTTACAATTACTGCCTTCATTGCTGAAGTAATGTCAGCAGCCGCCCATACGGCGAGCCGAAAGTTCTCTCGAGATGTTGATGGTAGAGAAAGAGGGGTAGGACACCCTCGGACCGTCTCCCCAGGGTGCTGTGCTTCAAAATTGAGGCGGAACTGAACGAAGTTATACTGTCACTTGAATGGAGCTTGCGAACGACAGGCGCAATCTTGCTTTCCTTACCACGATGAATTTCTTGGGCTTGTTCTGTTGTTACTGTCAGACAAGTGAGATAAATCACAACAACAGCAATGTCAGCTTTGCTATGTAGAGTGTGCACGAAACTGATTGCAGATAGCACGCATGCAAAATTACTGATAACATCTGGACTGAAATTTCCGTTGAACCTTCAAGTGCTAATGTACACTTGTGCGATAACAAAGATAGTTTGTAATATACTGCTATCAACGTTCTATTGTCATAAAAACTATATTTGCTTTCTTGAAATACCTTGTTTATATATGTACAAAATTAAAATCTATCTAAATTTGTATAATTCTGAAAGAGACATAATTTTTATTTTCAGGGGACAAGTGGGCCTCATTCGTACAAGTTCGGCTACAATACTGGAGATGAGAATAATCCGATGGCTCGCTATGAGGAGCGTGGCCCTGACGGTATTGTGCGAGGATCTTACAGCTACGTGGATGCGCTTGGAAAAAAACAAGTCGTGAATTACGAATCCCATCCCAAGCACGGTTTCAGAACAACGTTTAATGAGAGCTAGAAAAAGAACTTATACGACAAATAATCACTAAAACCTGAGTGCATCGCGAAGTACCCTGTTCATCAATTTCGTGGATAGTTACATCCTCGTGCTTTGACCACGAAAGCTTACATTATCGTCTTCAACTATTTTCGCGTTTTTCATAAGCACTGGCTAAGCCGTGCGCACAATTCACAAGTGCACATCAGTATAGCCACTGAGGGAGGGATTTCAAAAATGGACCAATGAGCTTCTATTGCTCCTGTGACGCTGAATATTTGAAACTGTGGATATGACCGCATGTTATTGTTTACGTTTTATTTTGTATTTGTTTCGCAGTTATATATATATGGCGTATAAATGCTGCTACCATTTTAGTAAAAAATCTCGTAGCGCTTTCATTTTATGAGTTTATTAAATCGCCAGTCATGTCACTTTCGTCAAACTTATCCCGCATTGATATTCGGAGTAACGTTCGCGGCATATTATCGCTCTTTATATCGAGAAAATGACTCAAAATACAGTTAGCCTCGAATATTATGCGTTTACTAACTCCTTAGGATTAAGAGAATTTAAGTATACAGTTTTTCATTGAGTTGAGAATAACTGGAAGGGCTACAATGAATCTAGTATTTTCTTATCTTAAAGCTTGAATTCCTTTGATTTTGAAAGTGTAAGATTAAAAAATATATCGTGAATAATTTGATTATACCTATTGTAAACATTAAAAATTATTTATGAGTAAATTAAAAGTATTTGTTGTGAATGAGATTACTTCATTCTCTTTGAAGAGCATTTCTTGTGCAGACAATACATTTAAGAGTGAACAGTTATTAATGCGAAACTTAACACACTAAATGTGTAGGAATGCGAATTAGGAAAATTCGCTTTAAATAAAATTCCACATTGACTATTATTACAGAACAACGTTTTCATATAGACTGCAATAAAAATTTCTAAGACTTCTACTATTTACATATTAAATTATGCTCGTATTTAATCGAACTTCACACTAATTTCAACAAGACATCCGCAATACTTTAATTATTTTGTACAGGAAATTGCATGGCAAACCTTTTCAAACCGTCTTCCTTTAAGATCGGCAAAGATCATGTAAAATGACATAAATATTACTGGAAGCCCATTGATCCATTCTAGAAGCCAAGCCCTTGCACTTACAAAATATGCAAGCCGTGCTTGCATGCTTGTACGTTAAACGCCGCACATGCAACCAACTGTCAGATGATATATATCAAAAACGAGTACTTTGACATAAATTGAGATGACACCTTCATTTTTTGTTTCAGTGATTTCCAAGTAAGCAATGACATGCCTGCTGTTATAGGAATCCTCAACAATAAATTATGTAAAGTAAGAGCATCATAAGTGTGAGGAACTTGATCATCTGTAGAACTGGATTCAACTTTACATAAAGAGATTCTTCAGAGATATTTGCGAGAAAGTCTAAGCACATTTTCTAAAATGTTCCTACTGTTCAATAAGTTTTCTAGAAACGCTCTATTTTCAATTTCTTTACGTTTTTAACTACGATAATATGCAGAACATATATATATGTTTAAAAAAAGTCTCTTTTATTGCTCGAGAGTGGATTCCCGAAACGACATCGGGAATTTAGCATGCCTCTAAGCGTCAAAATGGTTAAAAAGCAAATTTTGGAACGCTCTTAAAAAAGGAATTTACAAAATATAGATGATGGTTTAATTCACTACGGTTAACTGCTCTTGCTTTCTACATCGTTGTTTTATACCAACTGTGCTGACCAATACACAGAAACACAGCCTTCAGATTTCCAGTGTGAAGAAAAAGTCAAATGAAAGTGTTTTAACGCATAAGTGACTTTTTAACTCCGTTCGGAGATGAGCTTCAGTAACTGCCAATCAGGCGTTCTAGTAACTGTTCTATTATAGGAAAGTTAAAAAAAGAAAGGAAAAGACGAGGAAAAGCAAGGTGTTTATTTGCGAGCTTGGCTGCAAAAAATAACTTCCTAGAAGCTCGCAGAAGAATTAAGAAATGAAAGATTTCACTGAATAATCGAAGCAAAATAAGTATCTGTAACAGTTACTTAAACACGGCTATAGGTACTTAAAATTCGCAGTTTTTATGCATCCGAAATGTCTATTATTTGAAAAGAAATTTTATTTTTGTAAATAATTTTTAACAAAATAAAGAAATTCTAATATTGTGTGCTTTCGTTGATTAGAAGTCATATGAATATAGGTGGTGTTTTGCTACAGTTCACAAATACATATATTTAAAATATTTCAGAAATATCACTTTGGCTCTAATAATATAGAATAAAGAAGAAATTAAAATTATCAATAATATTCTTTGCAATAAACCAGATTTGGGTAGTAAAGAGATAATAATCGTGAGTACATATTTATTCAAAAACCACTATCTCGTTTTGCTCTTCCTCCGTAAATATTTTTCTCACACCTAACTGGAAATATTCGGTTAAAATTTTAATTGATTTTTGCACCTTAACTATATATTTATAAGTCACACTCACTTTATGAATGATAATGTATTTAAAAAGATAGTGTCCATAATAAGAAAGCAGATTTATCACCTATCAATAGTTCAAGCATTTAAATATACGTATCTACGTAACATAAAATTTGTATAATTTACAAAATATACAAATATTTGAAAAATAAGTAACGGGATTTATGAAAACTATGTATGGAAAAAGCTAGGGTTTTTAGCGCTCGAGGACAATTGAAGACCTCGCGCCCCTCTTGTTTGCGAGAAGTGGAAAACGTTTCATTCTAAAAATTCCTGGCATCAATTTGGCGCCCACTGGATGGTGCGCCCGGGTACAAATGTCCCCCCTTCCCCCCCCTCCAGCTACGGCTCTGATCTGGCCAATCCAAAAGAGTTTTCTGCTTCCAAAAAATCAATTTAGACAGATTAAATAACTGAAGAACGAAATTTAAGAAACGAAATAAGAAATTATTCTTGCTTCGAGAAACTGTTCTGCTAGAAAAATTTCTATAAATATAGATTCAGTTTAGTTACATTTGCTACCAAATATTATTTCTTAATTTCAGAACTAAGCGATTCAAAAATATTAAGCGCAGATTCATTTTAATTATTACTAATTACTAGCACAACTCGTAACATTATATTAGCTGGATTCAATAATATCATGTTTTTTTTTTTTTTTTTTTTTTTTTTTTTTTTACAATAACAATTTTCCAGCGGTCTGTAATATTAGCAATACACTTGTTTTTCCAAGAAAACGGAATCCTGGCTTCTTAGAAAAGGTTTTGGTTTGGTTTAATGAGATTACGGCAAAACGCACTAGGACTATCTGCCTAAAGGGAAGGATGCCTTCGGAAAGGATTTTCTAAGGAAAGCTGATTTGTATACACGTTACACATGGAGAAATTTGTAAAAACGCCCTTGCAGGTGATCATAAGGTGAGGATTTTTGATTGTAAGATAGAGCGTGTTCTGCCTCTCGAGGCCACGTTATTTTGTTGCTAGATAAAATAAGATTTGTAATCTTCGGCCTTGCATTATAATTGGCGATATTTGAACATCCACATCGGTGACGTTTTAAGCCAATTTCGCGTTAACTGATCTGTGTAGCCTTTGACTGTTAGTTTGTTTAAATTAAATTTTACATTCTTCAAGTTATCTCGCTACAAGTGTTTGGCTGAGTTATAAGCACCAAGTGCTATTAGTTTCAAATAAATGGTCTTTTATACTCTTGTTAAGTTATTAGTTAGTGATAATTCGCTTGACATCTACCAAGAGTTTGGTCACTACTGAATGATTGCAAAATATGACAAGCGTTATAAACAAATATCTTACACTTTGTCCAGTTGCAACACGTTACCTTTTTAGCGAGCCTTCGTAGTGTAGTGGTCTGCATGCTCAGACGTAATTGAGAGATCCACGTTTCGATTTCCGGCGAAGGCGTTTGCTAATTTTTCATCTTGCCTGTTCCCCAAAATCCTAATGTCTCTACAGTGGCGCCCGAACTAAAAGAGTGCTGGATGATGGTTCTCCACAACCAGGATTTGGCGATTGGGTTCCCTAAAACCGCAGTCGCCCTTTAAAAGGGGGAGTATATAAGGTATTTCTCACCTTCTTAGCGAGCCTTCGTGGTGTGTAGTGGTCTGCACGCTCAGCGCGTAATTGAGAGGTGGCGGTTCGATTCCCGGCGAAAAACGTTGCTAATTTTTCACCTTGCCTGCTTCCAAAAAATACCTAATGTCTCTACAAGTTCACCGGAGTTCATTAAATTCCCATAAATTTAAAATAAATGAAACCAAATTCAAAATTTTGGATCAAGGTGCACGTATATGGGTGGAGGACCACGTGTGCTCAAAATCTGGTGGCTTTTAAGTACCGCCGATTTTTCACAAAACGAGGAAAACTACATACATATAGATTATCGACAATCAAGAATAAATGTAATTGTAAATGCCCTCATTGTATTTATGCAAAAGATTTGCTCATACAAATACCTGATTCTGTTTACAAATATTTTGCGTGAATTTGTGTTTATGGGCTGTTAAGTTGTTTGTCCTTTGAAATGAATTGCACGCATCACGAAGTGCAGTTGTCTGCTAACATTGAATGTAAACAGCTTAATCGTGCGTTACTTCAGATATGTTTGTTATGAGACATAACGAGATTTTAAAAAATATAAAGCACTTGACCTTTTCAGTGTTCAATTATATTGCAGAATATTAACAGTTAAAAAAATGACGTTATTTTGAAAAACAGTCGGGAAATACGTCAGAGGAGGAAATACGTGGGGAAGGTAGGGCACATTATAAGGATTAAGAATTGCATAGGAACCCATGCCCAAAAACCTCATTATACATGGCCAGGGGGTGCTGTATAGGAGAGTGCTAGTGAAAAGTGAGAATTGCCTCATTCGAGCGGTAGCCACCATACGAAGAGGATGGAACGCTATACGAAAGGAGTTCTTACAGACATGCACTTAGTGTATGGAATATCTGAGGGTAATGCACGAGCTTCTGCACGCACTTATCGAAAACGCTTTTCCGACAGACATTAAAACACCACAGTTTGGTGCATCAAAATTTGTGCGATTACGAGTCATTAAGAAGTGGCAGGACAAGTAAAGGCAGGCCACGATAGACTCCCTCGGTCGTTGAGGAAGAAAGTGGGTTGGATACGGTGGAGAGTAATCCAAGGACCAGCATACGTGCCATTGCCTCTCAATTAAGAATGTCTCATAACAGTGTCCTGCGTGTCCTGAACGCCGAGTCCTTCCACGCCTTTCGTCTCCAAAGGGTTCAGTTACTGCTCCCCAATGACGATCCTGAACGTGTGCGTTTCTCACAGTGGTTTCTGCAAGGAAGTGCCCGTGATGTTAATTTCCCGGCTTATGTGTTGTTCACGGATGAGTCTACATCTAATAGGGATGGCGTATTCAATCAACACAATCAGCATTTGTGGGCTCTAGAAAATCCCCACGGTGTGCGGCACAACAACGCTTCAAAGTTTATGTGTGGACGGGTTTGGTCGGCGACTGCTTAGTCGGTCCGTACCTTTTACCAAGGTTGAATGTCGCGAATTATCTGATCTTTCTGGAGCAGGTTCTTTCCAGCTTACTTGACGATGTTCCACCAAATGTGAGGCGCAAACTGTGCTTCCAACATGATGGGGCGTCTGCTCATTTTGGACTAGATGTTCGTAGTCGAACAGATCACTCTCGCATTGATGGATTGGGCGTGGTGGACCGATTTCTTGGTTCACTTGAATTTATATCCAATAAATGTTTCAAATTAATCACTCTCTTGTTTTCTTTCCCAGCTTCTACATCTGTTATCAGTTATTCCTGACATTTCCCGGCATGGGTTCCTTTGCAATCCTAAATTCTTATGATTTGCCCTACCTCCCGCAGAAGTTTGTCGCAACATTTACGGAAAATCCTGTATATTAAACTAGAAACACATTTGTAACCCACTCTAGCTGGAGCTGGAAGAACTATGGTTCGAATTTCTTGGGTGGATATAGATGTTGCATTTTCTGCTTTGAAAATCGTGATGATCATCTGTAAGCGATTCAGCTTCAAAATTTCGTAGCAAAACTCTATTTTCTATCTGCTCTACAGCTTCAGATTTCGGTATAATAGTATGACCAAAGCAAAAATGTACATCGTAGGAATTTGTGCCAAATCCTGGGTGAGAAGAAGCATCATCCAACACCCTTTTAGTCCGGGCGTCACTGTAGAGGCATTAGGTAATTTTTGGATGCAGGAAAGATAAAAAATGAGCAATCGCTTTTGCCGGGAATCGAACCACGGACCTCTGGATACCGGACAAGCGCTACACCACAAAGGTACGCTAGTAAGGCGGGAGAAATACCTTATATGCTTAGTCCCGAAATGCAGACTTAAGTTTTGTGTCTGCTGCTGAGAAATTACAAACAAATAATTTAAGATTAAATCATTTTTTTAGACATTTGTTACGTGCTATTTAATTTAATGTCTTTCGGGAGCAAAACATTTCATTCCTTGAATCCCATCAGATGTTTTGAAAATATTGATTCAGTAGGACTCTGATTCATTGCGTAAGTATTGAAGCAATACCGTGCATTAACATTATAAGGGGGAAAAAAAAAACATATTTGCTCATCAAATTTCAACAAAATTACAAGTACTTTTGAAATAGAAATAGCAATATATTTTACTATGATTACATTATTTTATGAAAATTTCATGTCTAGTTGTTTCATGCAGAGAAATTACTAAGAAATGCCGTAAAATGTTTACTCCTGCATGAAACTTCGTGACATATTAGAAACTTACATAATAAATTTCATTTACTCTGTATGATGCTGGAATAAAAGTAAAATATGAATTCATGTTGTTTGATAAGAATAATGTACAATAATATTTTTCGTTATTTCTAATATTTGGCGAATGCAGCATATAACCTGCAGGGCAAATCTTTCCGATTCATAAATTTCAGAACCTCTTCCAAGATCATTACTCAGATTTAACCCCCATGAATTACAGCTTAGAATTGTTCAAGAGACTGTTTTAAAACCCTGCTGGTAAGTAGATATTTTAAATTCACTCTGCAAAACCATCTTTACAAATTCTAAATATATATAATATAATTCTGGTTTAGCATGCTAGAAATTAAGCTTTTTAAATCTTACATGTATTATGCGTTTAAAAGAAATATTTTTAGAGATATACAAGCAGGAAAAATTTGATAAAATAGTCATATATTTGTTTGAGTTTAAATCTCTCCAAATCTTGGTAAATTTTCAGCAATAATTCTGTAACTTGTAGGTGAACTGCTACTTTTAAAAAGCTTATAGTTACACTGCTTGAACTACAATTGAGAAGATCTAAATGTCTGAATATTTCTGATTGTATCTCGCTAAAAGTTAGTCTATTTAATTACGCCTTATATGTTTTACAATATATTACGCTGCATAAGAATAACATAATTAATTAACCACGTGATTGACTTGGATTTGGTTTACAATCAGAGTTTACGAAATCGACGTAGTTCGTTATTCCTTACAGAAAATTGATGCTGTTTACTACTTACTGATCAGTAGAATATATTGCTAAATGTTTCATTATAAAACGAGAATTTTCTCTATTTTATCATTCTTATTTCTAGTATTTTTTTTCTGAATTCTATATTTATAGTGGAATTTACAACGAATGTATATTCCACTAGAAAATTACTTTTAAGAGATCTTAAGAGGAGGATTAGAGTTTACGCTGAATAAGACCGTCATACCAGTAATCATGGAAACGATACTTCTGCAAATAGGGCTGCTGCAAGGAATGTAATACATGTTACTCTTTATAATAGATTGAAAGATATAATTGAAAGTAAATTCTTATTGGTAGGGAGAATGATAATAAAAGAAGATATACGTATCCGTTCCTCCCAAGATCCCACCAGCGGGCCAGCGGTAAAGTCGCTGGACACTGTTAGGTCTGTCCGAGGTTCGAATCCCGCGAACGGGCTGGCTGCATGGGCGTTTTCGTTTTCCCCATGTGTAACGTGTATACGAGCCAGTTTCCCTTATAAAGTCATCCACGAAGGCATCCCTTCCCTTAAGCAGATAGCTCTAGTGTGATTTGCCATTATTAAATAAACCTAAACCGTTCCTCTCAAATGTGGATAAATCAACTTTATACAAATAACCGGCACTTTCCCAGCTATTTCAGTCAGTTTAGGCTTAAAAACCGCGAGTGCCGTTGTGAAATGACTGAAGCTGATGTAAAGCACGTTGTCACTTGTTCCAATCTGTTAATTTATCTATATGCATTGGATCAAGGAAGGATCTTAAGAGACATTACATCAAAGGATTTTAAGAGATAAATTTTTAGCTACCAAACCAGGGTAGGATTTATTAAAATCATAAAAAGACAATAACAGAGAATAAAATTAAATATTACGTATCTTGGTAATGTATTTTCTTCCTCCTTACCGCGTGCCTTCTCGGTATAACTGGATAGCACGTTGGGCTTAACATTCGGGAGGTCGGGTGTTCGAATCCCGTCAACAACACTGAGCATTTTTTCTTACCTCCTTCGTCGAAAAACCTAACGACTCTAGAAGATTAAGTTCTCTTTATTTTATGTTATTAGTGTTAAGCAGCTATTTGAATGCTGAATGAGTTGTTCACTTTCTTTATTTGCATTGCCAGCCTAAGACTTAAGGCTTGCAGGCATTTTCTCTTATTATTCCTAATTGGCAATCTATTTTACGTTTTTCATGTCAAGTTGCATAGTATGGATTATGTTGATTATTAATATAGATATTTGTTAATGATGTCGGTTGAGATATCCAGTCAACGACTAATGACCCCAATTAGGGAAGACTGTAGGCTGAGCATCAAACTGTCCCTTTAACCCCTGCTTATGTATTGGCATGTTAATACATTGGATCATCCGGAGACTTCATCGATTTTTTTAATCGAAGTGAGATTTCTTCTCTTGCTACCACTAGTAGAGAATGACCTTGAATGAAGTGGGGGTTTAACTAAGGTCTTTTCCACTCAAGTTTCGCATTTCTATCATGTCTTGTGGCCTAATTTTTAACTAACTGGAGAACCCAAAAGTTCATTTTTTACATATTATGCTCTTTTTTCATTAAAAAGGGAAACAAATGCTATCCAGACAGCTTTCAAAATTTTGTTTTATATGAAAAAAGGGCTGTTTTTGATGGGATAATTCGAAAGCGGTTTGAGAAGATTAAGTGCGGAAATTTCAGCCTCGAAGATTATGCCCGCTAGACTACCATTCTCTGTAAACAAGGAACTATTAAAAGAGGTTATTGCTAAAAATTCACGTTGATCAATTTAACAACTATCAGGCAGACTAAATACACCACATAATACAGTTTTACTGTATTGTCATTGGATCATTTGAAAAAAGACTAAATATGCAAGCCGATGCATGGGTAACCCAAGGTCCTTAAAGCGAAACTGGTTATTGAGTGCATGAATTATTGCCACCAAATCAGGCAATAAATTCGGAAAAATACTCTTCGTAAAATAACAGTTTTAGAAGCAGAAATCGACGCAAAGCGTCCAGAACTGACCAATTTTCCGTATGTTGTCTTCCATCATTACAGCGCTGGGCTCCACGTTTGGATACAGCTCAAACAAAAACATATTGACTACAGCTGAGATGGCCTTGTGTCACGCCCTCAATATTCTCCAAACCTTTCCTTCCCCAATTTTCATCTCTGTAAAATCTTCAAAATTCTGTGAATGGCCTGGATTTCACTTCTTTGGGGACTGACAAACAGCAACTCGACAATTTATTTAAGAATAAATCTAATAAATCTTTTTTAAAAAGTTATTTTCGAACTGGTAGAGAAATAGCAGAAAATCATAGAAGAAAATGGTGCTAATGAGATTCAATGAGGTTCATATTTTCGTACTACTTCATTTGTATTGATTGTGAAAAAAACCGATGAATTTAATTTGTCACACTGATAATAATAGAAAAGAAAATAAATATAGAACGCAACATTTATTGTCAAAAACTAGATTAAATTAAACCAAAAAATTAAAATTATTAGTCCTAAATTTATTTTGAGTGTTCAGATAGTTTCTGGACTTCCCAATAATTACATTATTGCATTTTAAACTTCTAGGTCGGATCCCTTGGCTGGCCAACTTTGCTTTATTATGCAATGTGTATGCGTGTATGTATGCGTGTATGTATGCCTGTATGCGTGAGCTTAAAACTACTGGAGCCATCGTTCTTCATTGCTTCCAGAGTAACTTGTTTAAGTGACAGAAACGTATTATCCAGTATTTAGGGAGAAATGCTATCCAAGGCTATGTGTACTGCTCCTGTGGCGCCTCTTCTGCTATGAGGAATATGCTTAAGTTTTTCTTCATCATTTTTGCATTTACATCCACAGTTTTGTTTTTTCAGAGAATCAATATTAGCATAAAATTCATCTTGCCAGTTATTTTTGGAAGCCCGTTTCCAAATTCTTGTAATGGTCATACTGTTGCATTTAAATTGCTTTGCTGCTAACCGTAAGCACACTTTTCTCCATCGTTTCGTTTTTCTTTCAATGCGTCAAAAATTGGAAAACCACAACTCGATTTTTGCTTGAAAACTCTCTTTTGTTTTTCATCTTACTTTTAAAATGGGTTGATATTCAACTGAAAAAAAGCAACTGATTTTGAACTGAAATAAACTGATTAGAAAAGTAGTTATAATTCGTAATAATTGGATTAACGTGAAATATGAAATATGTGTCAAAGCAGATGACAGATGTTATGAAACATTGATTCTGATTGAAGGCTTCGTTGCGCTACAGCATAACTTACAGCTGCATTCGCTAATAATTGCCGTTTAAATATTCACTTATTACTAATATTATGAGACAAAGTAATATTTATGATGATGCAGATGATATACACAGTTATTGTTTATAATGATCAATTTGTTATTTTTATTTTCTAGAACATAACAGGAAAATGATGATTTTCTTAGCAACACTTTCTATGGTTGCATCCATTACTTTTGCACTCGAGTTGAACATGGACAGTGTATGGAAAAGTTACAAGGTAAGAAATTCATATGATAAACACAATTATTAAAACACAAGATCATGACGGGTTAAATATAAAAGAAAGTCATTCAAATATTCTTTCATTTTAATTACAAAATAATCAAGAAGAATTCTAATATTTATTAGTTGCAATAATTTCTATTACAAATAATGAAGAATTTGCATATATGTTATGTGTGTGTAGATATGTGTATTTCTCGCATTTTGGGAAAACTACGGCACTTCAAAGCCACCAAACTTGGAAACCATTTAGTTCTTCATCCGAACACGTGCCCCTCGAAACCCAAATTTCGAATTTGTTTAATTTATTTCATATTTTGTACGAATTTAACGAATTTTGATTAACAAACTCGGCGATATGAAAGCGAGCAGTGGCGAAACTATTCGAAATAAAAACCTTTTACCTCCTACCACCAAACTGTTGCCATTTTTTTGAAAATTGTAAAATATTTATCTTTCAGTTTTAATCAACAAACTCTTTTTAGTCCAAAGGGGCTTAGTACCTGAGGGACTATTGTTTTCGTTTTGCGATTTTGTGTTGAATCACTATAAACGGCGAATCACCTTTCAAACTGTTGCCAACAAATGTTAGAGTCTTGCATTATATTTAAAGAAATTAAATAATGAAAAATCAGCATAAATGTATGTCTATTTTTTGCATTGCGATAAACAACGGTACATAGAACCATCGAATTTTGAATGACGTAATCCTCCTACGAATATGGGCTTGTGGAAGACTAATTTGAAATTTGGAATTTGTTTTATTATTGATTTAATACTTTGTAAAACTTTAACGAATTTTTGAGTAAAAAACTCAATGATTTAAAAGCGAGCAATGGCAACACTCTATGGGGGGGGGGTAAACCCTTTTTATCTCCAGCGCGCGGAACTGTATATCGAAAATTCTAAAGACATGCTCATTTTAAAATTATTTTGCGACATTGCTACTGATGGTTAAAGTGCAAAGAATATTTAATAAATAAAGGTAACAGACAAAACGTTAAAAAATGTCCCTTTGGACGTAATTTAAAATATAAAACCTTTCGGATTTTTATTTATTTATTTATTTACTTTTTTAAATTGGTGTATTGCCACTGCCTGAAAAAAAATACTTTTATCTTTCAGGCGTAAGTGTGTTGTCCTTCAGAAAGGCATCCTGTAACAGGTGTCTACAGAATAAATTTTCAAATTTATTTTGTAGACATCTATTACTGAGTAGCAAGTTAAGCGATTAAAAAGCATTATAAAGGCCTAGGTATTCCAAAATGCGTTTTCTGGAAACCTTCTAAAATGCTTCTCATCAGCGAAAAAACGTCAAAAGTCGCGGACAAAAATTGTCACCAAATAAATAAAACACGCATACAACAATAATAACAACAAAAAAGGGGGGCAAAGAAACTAAGTTACGAAAGAAAATACAATTGAGGTATTTACTAAATTACAAACACTGTTTATATTACAGGTTTGAACCTATAACAAACAAGTGTGACTATTTATGACTAAATTTGATTGTTCACTTCTGAATTCAATTATGCAATAACATAAATTTCCTTTTTTCAGGAAAAATACTCCAAATCGTACAATGAAACAGAGGAAATGAGCAGACGATTAATATGGGAACGTAACGTGGCTGATATTATGATGCACAATCTTCAGGCAGATCTTGGAATGTACAAGTATACGCAAGGCTTGAACGAATTTTCAGACTTGGTAAATTAAATACAATAATCATTTATTTCACATCTGAAACAAGTTACGAGCTCGTTCAAAAGGCGAAAAATCTAGAGATCCTTTATGAATCAAACACGGACACCTTTCTTGCCTTTTTACTTCCTTGTACGAAGTAAAGGAAGTATTGTAATCACGAAAAATTCCCGGTTCATATTTCAACAAAAATATCCATTTTGACAGCTTTCGAATGCAATTTAAATGTGCATTTGCCTGATATCTGTATCTAAGGATAAAGGACTCTTTTTCTTCAAACGAATCATAAAACTGATTTAAAAAGGATTCAGAAGAGATTTTTGCATGGCGTCTGTCCGTACAAGCGTATATATCTCGCATAACTCAAAAACGAGTAGCCTAAAACTTTGTCTCCGAAAACATGTACTTGTGCATCTCCCGTTTTGATTGCAATTCACCGCACCGAAAGTATATAAATATATACCCACTCTGTTCTTAGGCTCAATGAGCTCAGTTTTTTTACTCTTATTTGTTGGTAAATTGTGCATTTTTGCTTTAAAAATGATTGAATTATGTTGTTCTTATCTTTCGGCTAAGCTTTTTCAGACCTTTAGTTAATCTTCACGTCATAGCTGTACAATTATTAACAACTTAAAAGTTGTTTAAGTGCTGCTAAGCCTCATTTTTTTAACCATAGCAGCCATATTAGTTTACGTTTGAGACTTAGCAGAATAGTGAATTAAGTCTTTTCTGCACCTTCAGTGTCTTTTCGCTGGAGCAGTATGAAAACGAAACTTTTAGTTTTGTGAGTCGAAAAATCTGCCTTCTTACCTGCTGGCCGAACTGCTCGTTTTTGCATAGAAACTGTAATTTTAATTGTAAAAATTGTTTTTTTAATAGTTTTAAGTGTATTTGGTGTTTTAAGCTTTTCTAATTTTTAATGAAGATAGTTTGAAGTTTTATATATTTTTGCTTTGGCCGATAATTGAGAACTGCATTAATTGAATGAGAAATCTATCTCTAATAAAATTCGAGGAAATAACTTTAAATGAAACACAGGAAAAATTGCGTATAGTTTAATATTCCGTACAAGGAAGTCATGTGGTGTACACATCAGCTTTTTTACTACGCCCTAATTAATCCATCAGAAGTTCTAAATCCCGCTAAATAAAAACCTTTATTAGACGCGTTTTTTTTCCTCCTCCAACTGAAGGCGGGTGGGCCAGCATGCGATCCCCGAAGCAATTTTACGCGGGCCGGGAATACGTTTAAATTCTGTATTTGTTGCAAAGATTTGAAGATTTTACTTCTTTGAGGTTGAAATTTACATTATTTTCATTACAAATAAAAATGAACATGAAACGCGCACCAGAAAATCTATAAATAGAGCAAATTAATTAACAGTGCGATATAAATCTTCTTCGAAAATATATATTTTACTAATTCCTACACATCAAAATATAAATAATCACAGTTACGAATTTTTGCACTAATCGCTTTATTTGAATAGGTTTTTCAGTTTTAAGTTAATATACGATTGACAGATGAAATATACAATCCATGATGAAAATAAATGAAGACAGAAGTGTTAAATTTTGAAATTAAATATCGCGATCAATTTTTGTCGTACGGAAGTCCAACTTCTTGTATTTTTTTCCCATAACAAGTATAAAACTTTATATTAAATATACGTACGGAAACCGAGAGCCTGCAATAAAGGTCAGATTTCTTTATTTCTCCAAAATTAATTTATTTTTAAATTTGACATTGCTACAACATGAATATTTTCGCCATTTAAGCACTTCTGTAACTGAAAGTACACTGTACATGGCTACGACCAACGATTGCGAAATTAAAGGTAAGAACTTTTAAGCCGAGAATGGGCTGGGTAAGTATAATTTTAGTACTGCGGATTGCAATAAAAAAAAGGGAGGCACTAAACTACACGTTATGGCACTCCCATATAGAAAATTTCATCTTTTCTAGGGTTAATTGTTTTTGAGTTCAGCCAGATCAGATACATACGTATGTACGATCAGACGTTTTAATCCATTTTGGAATAAAGAGTCCTTTATTTTATCCGTAAATACAGAACAAAATACCCAGAGAGAAGCATTATTCCCTAAGCCCGAAGGCCCGTAATATGAATTGTGCACATTCCCTAGGGAGCGATTTAGGCAGGCGCAGCTGCCTCCCCAGCGGTCAAACCTGGGCTTTACACAATATATGGTGAAATTTCTACCGTACGTACCGTCTATGTTCTTACGTATAAACGTCCCCCCCCCCAAAAAAAAAAAAAATTCAAAATGGATGCTTGAAAGGTCAAAATGAATATTTGAATATTTCCTTTGAAATCTGATAGCCGAAATTTTTTGGGTTTACAGTACTTCCTTTATTTCGTTCAAAGAAGTAAGAAATTTCTGATTATTTCCTGCAAACGTAGTCTTCTTATTAATGCGTCGAAGAAAATTTTTAATAAATAAAATAAAAATCTTTGAATATGAAAGTTTTGATAATTTTTTTAGTTTAAATTAAAATAAGTTATTTTATGATTAAATAAATATGTTACAATAATTTGAAATTAATGTCAGTTTAAGATTTACTATTTAACTGCCAATATATTTGACTTGCAAAGTGTAGCCAATAAAAGTATTCTACAGATACCAAATTTTAGATTTCAAATAAAAGGAAAAAAAAAACCCTTTTCAGGGTACGTGCCTTAAAACCCCTTATTTTGAAATTTTATTTGCAAATTCCTTCATATCAAGTATGCAAATAATTAAATTTTCAAGCCCAGTGAGTATTAACTTCGGTAACAGCTTGCATTTCTACTGCGCAACTATTATCTGTTCTACAGATTATATTACTACATATTATCTATATCTGTTCTCTTTGTCGGTGTTGTAATTTCTTGGAGGCGCAATCGATAATTTAAATGTTGTCAAAGACTTTAGAAAGGACAGGAACAAGTACAGCGGCACCATATCACCGCTACAAGCAAAACTGGTATTGCCCCGGTGCCTTTTCGTATTTATTGAGAATTAAACAATGTGATATGCAGTCATACAGATGTTATTGATGTCAGTATGACACACTTGGTAATTTAACCATAAGTCCAGATAGTTCATGTCAGTTCAGTGCATCCCACTCGATTGGAATCAGCTCTGCTACACGGCTTGGAGATAAGGCACAGATATGAATGTAAAACTGAAGGCTCGTTAGAAGTGTGTGTTTGATGGAGATAACAATGGCACTCTGAAATTATTGCAGAAGGAGAGGATTGAAGATTTAGGGTGGCACATATTGAGTTTTTGTCTGTGGAGGTAGTCGATGATGTTCTTTATCTGACTGACCGTTTTACGGTGCTTGATTAGGAATCGTCTGAATTCTAGACCTGGGTTGCTTGGATGACGGATGTGGTGAATAGACGTCATCGGACAGTTGAAGATGTAGTGCTCTGGGTCCCCATTGCTTCCCCAAATACATCTGTCAGAGGAGGCTTTGTGTCTGTTGTAGAAGTAGAGCGGAAATGGGCCGTGGCCCGAGATGTACTGGGAAAGACGTTTTCATCTACTTTAGGGAGGAATTCATACGTTCGTCTTCCTTGTTGTCCGTGGTCCCATTGATGTTGCCATTGTGCGGTTGCAAGTTGTTTCAGCTTGCATTTCAATGTTGACTTTGGACAACTGGACGACTTCGAACTTGGTTGCACAGTAGGGATACGTGAAGCGAACTAGTTATATCAAGCAATAGGGCGCTATCTTCCTCTCCGCGAGAAACATCTTCCCCGCGCAGCTGGTTCGCTAGATTTCTCCTCCGTATAGTACCTTTGGGTGCTGACAGAAAAACTGAGAATCCTATATTGTTGGTGAATTGACCTGCCAATTTGGCAAGAAATCCCCCATGATACTATGCACCAAATTCATCACTCAAAACCACGTAAAATAACAGCTTGCATCCAGACTGGATGTGTACCGACATCATATTCGCTGGTTCACTTTTTATATCTCTCTTGAATAAATTATTCATTTTTTTAAACCGTAATCGTTTCTTTGTTTGCACATGTAGACTAATTTTTGTCTCAGTGCTATACTCTTGTTAGCGCACAAATTTTTGTGTCATGGAATGTATTTATTTTGTATTCGAGTTGGATTTGCATGTATCAGGTTATTCGTCTGTAAAGTCATTAGGTTTTTTTGAAGCAGGAGAGGTGAAAAATGTGCAGTGCCCTCGCCGGGACTCGAAGCTGGACCTCTGGAATAATTGCCGAGTGTGGTACTGTTACACCAGGAAAGCATGCAGAAAGGAGGGAGAAAATACCTTATGCGTCTTGAATCGATTACTTTATCAGACTTTTCAAATCTAAATATAATCATGAACTTTTTCTTGGGCATAAATCAATTCCAAACCGAATTTTACACAGAATAAATCAGAAGAATTTGATTGATATGTGTGTACAGGTCTCTTCCTTGAAGTTTAACCTGTAGTACTTAATTAAAAAAAAATATCATAAGCAGCTATTAATATATACTTCCAAGAACATACGGAATATAGAAAAGAAAATTTAGAATAAAAAATTTAATTCTTTTTGCAGATAACCTGTTAAACGATTCGATGATTTTGCCTTTCATTAATCAAAACGCTTTACTTTTGGCATGAAACTATAGGAGGATTCACACTCTTATTGGCACTTTATTTAAATTTGCATCTATTCTCAAGATTCTTCAATTTGTGGAATTTCATCGATCACTTTCTGCTTTTTGTTTGCTACTCAATCTCCTTATCTTTTGATTGTAGATTATTTTCTTGCAGAGTTCAGATTTCATGCAGAAAATGACATGTTTTCATATTTAAAAAATGAAATGCTAATAATTTACATTCTCTGATTTTATGTATGTCAACTTCGCAGAATATCTTTTTGAATATACTCACTTAAACAGGATCACGAAGAATACAAAAATCGTCGTCTTGGTTACAAATACAATAAGAATTTTCAAGGAAACGCAAGCAACTGGATTCCTAGGGAGATGTCTGATGATCAGATGCCCGAGAGCGTAGACTGGAGAGAAAGAGGTCTTGTAACTAGAGTCAAAGATCAGGTCAGTCAAGCGCAATTCCTCATTTCTTTTTTATTTGTGACGGCTCTTATGCGAAAATAATGTGGTGTAGATCAGTATTTCAGCTCCAGGAATATTTTTCAATGATAAAAATACATATAGTATACGGTAATAAAGCAAAGCGGCTCAAAATTGTAAAAACAGTTATTTATATTTTCTGAAGTATTGATTAGAAAGAAGCAAGAAAAATTTAGCTGTTCCCTGAAATGGTTCATTTTAAACTAGCGGCAGTTCAGTTAAATTGAGAGTACATGATTCATAGTCGGACATTTTTCAGTCTGATGCGATATGGAACCCACAGAAAAAAATTCTATAGAAAAATAAACTAATTCTCTCTCATTGTATCAGAAATAATGGCAAGCAGTTTTTAATGATATTCGTCTTTCTAATCAAAGTGTCGTAAAAGCTCAAGTTCCATCCAATATTTCGCCCATATTCAATTTGATTCGATTAAATGTGGCAAAAAAATGGATTATAATTTATCCGAAATCAATAACGCGAACAAACACACAAACCGGCATTCTTCTTTATACAGAGAGATTTTGTAAAACTTACAAATTTTTGATTAACAAACTCTACGATTCGATAGCGACACTTTTCGAAACAAAGCATTTTTATCTCCGACGCGCGAGACTGTTGCCATTTGAAAAAATGAGAGATTCAGAGATTTTTAATTTTTCAGAGATTTTTAATTAATATCTACGCTGATTAAAGTCGTATGAAGATGGGAATAGTCGAAATGGCTTCCCACGAATTTTTGGAATCGAGAATAATTTATTATTTTATTGTAAAACTAAGGAATTTTTAATTAACAAACTCTACGTTTGAAAGTGACAACACTTCTCGAAATAAAGCAGATTTTTATCTTCAGCGTGTGAGACTGTTGCCACTCGGAAAAATGAGGGCGAAAATTAGCGTTTTTAGTTTCTAATAAATTTTTTTTGGCCTTTTCCAGGAACCAAAAATGAATTGTAGAAAGTTTAGTGACGATAGCAATAGTAGTGACTGAGTTAAGCGCGAACAAACGCTCATTCTTCTTTATACCCAGCTCCATTCTCGGCTGGTATATATAGAACTCGGATGCAATCGAGGTCATAAAACACCAAATTGTGATTTTAAGCAACCCAGAGACGTGTGGCATATGTGTCGGAATATAACTAAGTCCGGCTTATAACATTTACTTACGTTTGTAAAAGTAAAACCAAATGAAAGAATGTCATGAATTCTGAACACACGGCACAAATTGTGGGCGGCTTTAATATCGAAAGTTTTCTCTTCTGCGAAATGAAATGAAATACTTATTAATTTGCTCAGCTTGCGTTTTATTTTCGTTTTAGAGGGATTGCGGCTCTTGTTGGGCATTTTCTGCCGTTGGTTCACTGGAAGGTCAATACAAAAGAAAAACAGGAAATTTGGTCTCTTTCAGCGAACAAAATCTTCTCGACTGCACAAGAAGACAAGGTGAGTCGCTTAGTAAAATCGAATTGCATAAATTAACTTAATTAACCTATTTATATTCAAAGTTTGCTGTAATTTTCTCTATTTTTTTCAACATTTCTTTGTATTTTAACGTTATTAGCAGTATAGCTACTGATTATATTGCATGATATCGTGAATGCTTGTACGAATACGTCTGAGGAAAATTCCAGCGTCCTGTTATATTTTTAATAAGAATAAATTTTCTTAACCCTTTTATCGGACTTGTGCCTTCAATCTATTACGAACCCGTACGCAAGCAACAATATTATAAATAATGACAGCTCAATACATTTTGTTTGAAACAAAGCTTCATTCATAACATTATTCTTGTAATTAATACAACAGACATTCCTATTCAATTCATTCCTCCTTAAAAGTCAATCAGAATAAAAAATTCACTGTTGACCACATCCAACAGTTTGTCATTCGGAGGTAATAATTTTGTGACCAGTCCACAAACGTCGACAAATTTCGAGACTATTTAGCGACATTTCGGTTCCATCCCTGTGTGACTTCCAGCAATTTTAGAAGCTATTGAAAAGTTCTCTGGCAGACTGAGCAAAAATATATATAGGACTGGAGAGATCATCAGTTTTTAGTTTTAACTCGGATGTTCAGACCATGCCAGCTTTCGCTTTTTGAGGAGCTTTGCTTTGTCTTGTGTTCGATGTCTCAGTAGTTTGAAGTGGTAACTACCATATGTGCTTTGTCATTCTGAGAAGAGCTGTGCAAGTACTTTTGAGCGGAATATTCCAGCCATATAAATATGAATTGTTTTCGGAAAATAAATTTCATCAAGCTTTCAACGGTTTGGTGTGCATGCAATCCATTACAAATCAGTTTGACATTCATAATCATCAAAGTGGAGTTCAGAGTTCGAGGGATTTACATTGCATGTGGGGGGGGGAGGGTCACTGACACCTGTTTCGCAGTGACCATTTCATTTCCTGTGTTCATTTACACGGGACAAACCCAGGGTGCTTTCACTTGCATTTTGAAATGTGACGGATTACGAAACACGTGGCATATTCTCATTACCCCTATGAACTGCATGTCAGTTACATCTCTGACACAAGGGCACGACTGTAATTCAATTATTACGGAACTTTACGTTATTTTATGTATTATAAGGTATTTCTCCCGCCTTCTTAATGAGCCTTAGTGATGTAGTGGTCTGCATGCTCAGCGCGCAATTGAGACGTCGGTGGTTCGATTCCCGGCGAAGGCGTCACATATTTTTCAATCTCTCTTGCTTCCAATCAGCCTAATGTTTCTACAGTGGCGCCCGAACTAAAAGGGTGTTGGATAATGATTTACAACACCCGGGATTGGGGGATTGGGTCCCCTTAAAACCCCAGTCGCCCTTTAAAAGGGGGATTATATAAGGTATTTCTCTCGCCTTCTTAACGAGCCTTAGTGGTGTAGTGGTCTGCACGCTCAGCGCGTAATTGAGAGATCCGCGATTCAATTCCCGGCAAAGGCGTTGCTAATTTTTCATCTTTCCTGCCTCCAAAAAATGCCTAATGTCTCTACAATCTATTTTAAGTGCCTGCTCTCCCACTCTTCCGATAAAAAACAAATACGGTTAAAACTAAGAAAGAAAAGCTCTGCGGTGATTACACATTTATTTTAAATCATTTTTTAGAAATGTTGATACATTAATTCAGATATAGAACGATACATCAAAAATTATACTTTATTTTTCTTAGTGCCTAAGAACTCATTATACCAGCAAATAACTAATTTTCCTCATTTTCTTTAGGTAACGACGGGTGTAATGGCGGTATGATGGATCCCTGTTTTGAATACATTCGACAGAACGGTGGTATAGACACCGAAAGAACATATCCCTACATTGCTCGAGTAAATTGATTTTTGATTAATTAGTTGATTTAACTCATTCATTTGAAGTAGCAAACCTGCTTGTTTGGTTTTATGGTTCAATGCAAGTTCATTTCGTAACTAAAATGCATCGTTCAACTTGTCTATCGTAAGAGGAATTCTAATTTTTTGGAATCCGAATCCAAATCCTAAAAATATTTTCGAATCTACCGAAGATGATACTTTTGCATTTTACCGTGATCAGCGAAAAATCGCCTAATTTGGCGTCGTTTATCGCCAAATGATATAGCAAGTTTAAAACCATAACCAAAAAAATAACTGTGAACTAATTTTTTACTTCCATTACTAAAGAAGTATTGTAATCTCGAAAATGTTTGGGTATAATATTTCAAAGTAAATACAAATTTTACTATTTCCGAATCCATTTTGACTATTTTCTGAGTGACATTTGTACATAGTGACAGAATAAATGAATATTTATTTCAAAACGGATTGTAAAATAGATTTTTCCGTGATGTCTGTACGTTTTATACGTAAGTGTATCTTGCATATTTCAAAAACGATTAGACCTGGAACATTAAAATTTTGCATATGGGACTACTTTAACATCTAGTTCTGAAGCTGTTTTTTTTTATATCTATCGGTGGCACCAAAAGTATATATCATTTTTCTTATAATAATTCCAGGTTTAAATTGAAATTATGTTTCTTGGAGATTTTGGAAATTTTTATGTTTTTGAACTTTGTATGCTTATAGAAAACGTTACGTTTCACAAAATGCAAACTTGTATATATCATTTTAGAGAATTTATTACTGAATTCAATACAAAACATAAAATTCAATAATTTGCAATACAAAAAAGTTATATGTACTTTAATCTATATAAAAAAACACAGTTATGAAGTGGTTTGTAATGTCTCTAACTTTCCTGGACAATCATTGTTCTTGTTCTGAGAACCAATCAAATGTTAGTAACTGCCAGTAGAAGCTGTTTACACTCATGTTTACACTTGAAACAATTCATTATTTTGCTTTGTTCTGTAGAAGGAGGACCTGTTTCTTATGCACTGCAATTACAAGTAGGAATTTTTGTAAAAATTTTTAATATTTAGTCAAGAAGCAATGACATCAAATAAAAGAGTAGATTGGACACCTAGAAAGAGATGTAATATTATTGTGTTACGAGAAAGTGGTCTTTCCTATGCTGAAATTGCAAGACAGGTGGGTGGTTCAGTGACTATATCTGGAGTCCGAAAGTTTTGTTTACGATATCAGGAGACAAATTCAATAAAAACAAAGAAGGAAAAGACCGAAAAAGGTACACCACATCTATTGATGACAGAAGAATAAAAAGACTATGTCTCCAAGATAAAAAATGTCATCAGCGGCCATCAGAAGTGATCTGAATGATGCTGGTGTTTCTGTCAGTTCAAGAACAATCAGGAGAAGATTAACAGATGTTGCACTGAGAGGTAGAATTCCACGAAAAAAGCTTTATCTTAATTTTCAGCAACAAAAAAAAAAAAAAAAAAAAAAAAAAAAAAAAAAAAAAAAAAAGACTACAGTGGGCAAAGGAACACATTAATTGGACAGATGATCAGTGGTCACAAGTTATATGGAGTGAGGAAACTAAGATATCGTTATTCGGTAGTGATGGGCGAAAATATGTAAGACGTAGAATAGGAGAAGAGCTACATCCTGACTGCATTCAAGCAACCGCGGAGAACCCAGTTAGAGTTATGATTTGGTCATGCATGTCAGCAGATGGTATTGATCGCCTTCATGTCATCGATGGGACACTGAATGCCAGAAAATACATTGACACTATTCTAGAACCAAAACTTCCACCTTCCATCAGAGATCTCTTTTCCAACAATGCTTCGTTTATTTTTCAGCAGGATTCTGCTCCTTGCCACACGACCAAAATATCGAAAGAGTGGTTTCTTAGAAAGAGCATTAAATTGTTGTCATGGCCAGGAAACAGTCCTGACCTCAATCCTATCGAAAATTTGTGGCACCGTTTGAAAACTCTTGCCCGAATGAGGCGCCCATCAAATAAAAGGGAACTCATTGAGGCTATAATTGTTTCCTGGCATCATGTAATAACGAAAGAAGAGCTTAAAACTCTTGTCAGCTCAATGAAACGTCGATGTGAAGCAATCAAAAATAAAGGATACCCTACTAAGTACTGATAACTCACTGCAATCATCATTATATAATGTATATCGATAACTATTATCGTTTAACTTTTTTTGTATTGCAAATAATTGAATTTTGTGTTTTGTATTGAATTCAGTAATAAATTCTCTTTAAAATGATGTATACAAGTTTGCATTTTGTGAAACGTAACGTTTTCTTTAAGCATACAAAGTTCAAAAACATAAAAATTTCCAAAAGTGTCCACAATTTTGGCCACCACTGTATATATAAGTATGCATACTCACTCCCCTTTCCTGGCTTAAAAGACCTGGTCGTAGTCATATGTTTCCAATCATAGAATTGTTTAAAGTGACGAAAATATTTATGTTATGGCAATGTAAATTTTAAACAAATTGTTTTGAACAAATAAGGGAATCTAACTCTTAATGTGGTACCCCGGTTGCATATTTCATATATTATATTATTTCCCCGGTTCCCCGGTTTATATATTATTTCCCCCGTTCATAAGTGCACATCAGCGTAGCCACTGAGAGAGGGGTTTCGAAATTGAACCAATGAGCTGCTATTGCTCTTGTGACGCTAAATCTTCGTGTATGTGAACGTATGTTGTTTACGTTTTAATTTGCATTTGTTTCGCAGTTATAAATATATGGAGTATAGTGTCATACATTTATAACTATGGTTTTGGTTATAATAATCTCGTAGTACTTTCGTTTTCTGAGTTTGATGAATCGCTGGCATTTCACTTTCGCGATTTTTAGCACGTATTAATATTAGGATTGATGTTCACGGCATAGTATGTGGATTAAGAGAATTCAAGTGTATATTTTTTTAATTCAGCTGAGAATGACTGAAAGTGTTACAATGAATTTAGTGTTTACTTATTTCAGTGCTTGTATTCTTTTGATTTTAAAGTGCAAGATTCAGAATACATATGATCTGACTATATCCATTGTTAACATTAAAAACTATATGTGAATAAATTGAATATACTCGTTTTGAATACGATAAATTCACTCTGTTTGATAAGTATTTTCTGTGTAGACAGTACATTTAAGAGTGAGTAGTTATTAAATGCGAAATTCAACACACTAAATGTATACGAATGCAAATAAGTAAAGTTCACTTTGAATAAAATTCTGCATTGGCTATTATTATAGAACATCCTTTTCATATAGACTGCAATAAAAAGGATTTACATATATATAATTGGTGTAAATATTTTTCTCATACGCATAGTTTTATGTAAAGATTGCATTTGGGCTCAGATGTTTATCACATATTTTTTTTTCGTCTTATTTACCACTTATTAATATTAATTATATTATTAGTAATATATTAGTAATATTTCACATCGATATTTTTGCGAAGTATCCAGCATGTGTTTGTATTTATTTCAATCAGGTAGTGAAATCTTCATAGTTTCCTATAATTGATTTAATTTCACAATGAAAAGTTTCATAAGCAATCGACGATGCTTTAATTATTTTGTACAAAAAATTGGGCGGCAGAATATTTTCAGCCATTTTGCTTAAAGCATGCGAAAGGTCATGTGACATGACAGAAATATTGTGGATGCTCATTGGTCCATCTTAGAAGCCATTCCCTCAGTGGCTACACAGATGTGCACTTGTGAAATATGCACCCCGATTCCTATAGTTATATTTGGGAAACCTTTAATACTCGTTGTTTAAAAAAAAAATTTTAAAAATTAAAAAAAAAAAAAAAAATTGACTCCTGACGACAAAAACTGACAGATATATTTAATTTCAAACTTTGCGATTTTTGGTGTCATGTTCATTTGTCTTGCCTGGAGGAATAGGTTAATTAAGTTAGAATAATTCGAGGAAATAAATAAAAATGAAGTACAGCCAAAACATTGCATATAATTTAATAGGCAAGGAAACCATGTGGTGACCACATCAGTTTTATTTATTTTTTTTATTTTTATTTTTTTTATTTTTATTTTATTTTTTATTTATATTTATTTATTTATTTATTATTTATTTATTTTTTTTTTGTTCGTAAGAAAGGGTTTTTCTTTCGGGTTAAGAATGATGATAATTTTTAGTTTATCATCAAAAGCAAATTGCATTCTTTCAAGAAAGGAGTATTTTACCTTCCAGTCGAATTTTCGAAAACCGGCATACAAACTTTATACCACCGTAGAAACCATATAGTGATGCGAATTAGGAATTGCGAGAAAAAGGATGAAGAAAAACCATTTTTAGCAGGGAAAAAAAAAAAAAAAAAAAAAAAAAAAAAAAAAAGAAAAAGAAAGAAAGGCCTTTCCAACAGATTTTGGTTCCCTGCTTCAAAAATGACATCTGACAGCGACAAGCTACTATTATTGGTTTACGGCTACCTGCAAATTAAAGTAAAATTATTTTCTTTTAAAAGTAAAAATTTGTATATTTGAAAAAAGGTGTTTTTTTTTTTTTTTTTTTTTTTTTTTTTTTTTTTTTTTTTTTCTTTCTTCGTTACTGTGCTCACCTGTAGGAATAATGATAAATAAAAGAAAATTTTTGCTTAGAAAATGATGAAGCTTAATGAATGAGATACATAAGTATAATGTTTGAAACTTGAGGTAACCCAATGGAATACATTCCAAATCATTTCCTTATTTTTTTTTCATTTTAAATGTATTTTTCCGAATCCCTAAAATTACAGCAAGCATGGAAGACGAAGAATATTTCGAAAGTCGACGTAATTGTACCTTATTATGAAACGGTAAATTCTGCCGGAAGATTAAAGATGTGGTAGTCACGACGTGATCCTGATGATCCATGTTCCCTGAAATTATAAAGCAATAATCGAAATCGTTTTCTCTAAATGCTGTTATAGGAAATATAAACTAATCTCTACGAAGGTTAACAAAGCTAAATTTATTTTAATTTTTTACTTTGTGTTTTTAAAACAGTTAAAGATTTTTAAGATGCAATTCTAAAAGTTCTGATGATGCAAAAAGCACGAAGATTCTGAATTTCGAATCTCGAAACTCGTCCAAAGTTCATAGAATTCGAGAAAACGGATATTCTGTCTCTATAATCTACAGAGAATATCTGCGTATTCTCTCATTCTTTGTTTGTTTTTATATCTACCATGGCTGGCTTTTAGTTTAAATCAGGGGTTTCCATTGAAGCCATATCGACTTCCTGGGAATCGATGAAATTTTAAAGGATTCAATGATGATCAACGGGTCGACAGCCGAATATGCACCGGCAATGGATCGGTATTATCAAGATTCCTTGATTACTAAAATATATTAATAAATTGGTATTTTATTGTTTATTGATATATTGGGTCACATAAAAAGTCTCCGCTGTTTTTGGCCACTAGACGGTGTTGATGCCTATAATTCTAGCAACACTCACCCGAATGTCTCAAACGAACATGTGCTCAAAAGGTGACATTCAGTTTCCATTGTTTGTGAAAATAGTTTGCTAATTCGTTGCTTATGTAAAAGGTTATACTGATTTGAAAATGAACGAAATATCTGAAGAAATACATTATGTGATGCTTTTTTAGTCTAAAAAAGGTAAAGAGGCCGCAAAAACATGCCGAAAAATTTGTGAAGTGTATGGTGAGAATTCTGTAAGTAAACGAAGGGCCCAGGAGTGGTTTGCTCGATTCCGTTCCGGAAATTTCGATATCAAAGATGCATCTCGCTCTGGTCAGCCAGTCACTCAAAATGTCGATGAAATTTTGCAACTGGTGGAGCAACACCGGCACGTAAGCTGTCGAGAAATATCAAAGGCACTAAACGTCAACCACATGACAGTTTGGAATCATTTAAAAAAGAGCAGGTTACAAAAAGAAACTCAATTTTGGGTGCCATATAAATTGCAACCTTGCGAAACCATCCATTCGGCACTGTACTGTGCACAACTCGACCGTTTGCACGAAGCAATACAGAAAGAGTGACCAGAACTGACCAAAAGAAAGAGAGTTGTGTTCCATCATGACAATGCGCGGCCACACACATCTTTGATGACTTAGAACAAATTGACGGAACTTGGTTGGGAAGTTTTGATGCATCCACCGTATAGCCCGCACCTTGCACCCTGTGCATATTTCACAAGTGCACATCAGCGTAGCCACTGACGGAGGGGTTTCGAAAATGGAACAACGATATTCTATTGAGCTAATTTGTGACACTAAACCTTCGTGCATGTGAACGTATATGTTGCTTATATTTTAATTTGCATTTGTTACGCAGTTATAAATATATATTGCGTAATAGTAGAAAATCTCGTAGTGCTTTCATTTTTTGAGTTTAATGAATCGTTGGCATTTCACTCTGCGATTTTTATCACGCATTAATATTTGGATTGAATTTCACGGCATGTTATCGCTCTTTACATCGAGAAAATGACTCAAGCTACAATTAGTCTCGAGTATTACAGATTTACTAACATCTGTGGATTAAAAGAATTCAAATGTATATATTTATTATTGAGCTGAATAGGACTGGAAGTGTTAGAATGAATATAGTGTTTTCTTATTTCAGCGCTTGCATTCTTTTCAATTTTAAAGTGTAAGATTCAGAATACATATTGTGTATGATCTGATTTTGAAGCCACTCCCTCGGTGGCTACACAGATGTGCACTTGCGAAATATGCGCACCGTGTGACTACCATTTTCTTCGGTCTCTGCAAAATTCTTGTTGATGGTAAAAAACTGGCCTACCGAAAAGGGGCCGAAAATCGCTCGCCCAAGTTTTTCGACGATAAACCGCAGAAGTTCTACACCGATGGAATTTTGAAACTATGCGAAAAATGGCAAAAGATCATAGATAATAATCGCCAATATGTACTTGATTAAAATTGATTTTCAATAAAGAAAACTTTCGTTCAAAAATGTACCAAAAAAGCGAGGAGACTTTTTATATGACCCAATATAAAGCACTATCATGCAATAAGAAAATAGTCTTATAAAATTATTATAAGGGGCAAATACACTAAATTACTTAATGCGTTTACTTTAAATCAATAATGCTTTTGAAATATGCAAAATGTTTAGTGCAATTTTAAAAAATAAAACACAAGAACACATAACTAAAAAAATATGAAGAATGCAAAACTAGAATGGTAAACAAGAAACAGGCTGAATATTTTTGAACGAAGTTATTTAAGAATTAAGCAATTTTATGGCAAATATTAAAAAAACATACATCAGTACATAAATTCAACCATCCTATTGATTAAAATTGAACTTTTGCTCAGTTAGAATCTGTGACCTTCTTCTGAAAACTTGTTTATGCTAGTAAAATTTACAAAAATAATGCAACATAACTCTAATAAACCTTTTTTAATATTTATTCATTTTCTTAATCTAATTATTATCCTTAAATTACTTATACTCAGTTCTTTGTATTATGATTATGTTGTATACTGCATACTATACAGAAAAATGCAAAGGGTGTCGATAAAAAATAATTCTTTCAAGAAAGGTCGATGTTAAAAAACGTTTGGAAATCCCTCGTTTACAAGTAAGTATTAAATGCAAATTATTTGTAATTTCCATGAGAGTACATTTTAGAAAAATTAGACGAAATTTAATTCAATTAAGAAAGTACTAACAATCATAAACTAGTTTACTAACTCTTTGCAATTGGCTCCACCCAAAAAAAAGTAACTTAATGTCTTTCTTACAGCGTCAAACAGTTCTGATCAATATACAAATGACAGAATCCAAAAGCAGACTATTACGCGTTTAAATGAATCTATACTGTATATTTCCTTTTTCAGTTCTCTTTAATTTAGTTTGATTTTAATTCCCTAAATTCATTTTTAAAATGGCGAGAGTTGTATGAACTATATAAAATTAAAAATCTGTCGCTTTCTAGGAAAGAAGGTGTCGGTTCAATCCATCGAAGGCTCTAGCTAAGATCAGTAGTTTTATGCATTTGCCCTCCGGAAACGAACAAGCTCTGAAACAAGCAGTAGCAATGATAGGGCCAATTTCTGTTGCCATTGATGGCGGCCACGAGACATTTCACAATTACAGGTAAGGGATTGCTTTATTTTGTTTCTACGAGGTGTGGCAATCCAAATGTGAGAAATACATAGGATGAAAGGTGCAGATAACATTATTTAAAACACATAACACTACCTCTCATGTTCTCATATTTAATAGATACACACTCTATACATACACTGAGGTACTTTGAATTAAGGTTAGTAAGAATATTGCGAACACTGCCATTGCTGCCTCACTATTTAGTATAGAGTATTTTAAGTTGATTCATCAATTATGAGTTAAATTTTCTCTGTAGCTTCTTCCCCTAACATTCTCCTGGGTTAGAATTAAATTGAAAAGTATTTAAGTCGAGAGTTTTCACTGTTTAAAATACAGAGATCTTGGCAGCATTGCCTGCAGTTTGCATTTTATTACGCAGATTTGACTGGGAATATTCCGACTTTAGCCAAGCTGATAGGCGACGTTAATGCGCGCCGTTTAAGGTACTGAGCCAGTTTAAATAAGGCCATTAGTACTCACATCACCCACTATGATGTTAAATTTGAAATTTGTCATTTTAAAAACTATGGAGTTTATCGAGTTGTGAGATGATTGATTTCTGTTCTGTTGCCACGTTAGGATATGTAGACTCAATTTACGAATCAGTGCAATTGAGCGCGCACGTTGTTTGTGATTCTTCAGGTTTCTGAGTTAACCTGCTAGGTTAAATTAATTTGGGTAATCATGAACTCTAGCTTACCTTTAAATTCAGTTTGTTACCATTATCTTTATGTTCCCCTCCACAGGCGGATGGCGAAATGATAAGTACGTAAGACCATGCCATCTGTAAATAACTAAGTTCAATAAAAGGGTCTTTTACACCCTTCCGTTGTTGTATTCATCTTCTAGTGTTAGCTATAACTCGCTACACAAATTTTCAACTAGGTCTAGTAGCAGTGTACTTTAGCAAAGAAGACTACATCTTAAACACGTAGGAAATTATTAACTTGTAGAAAATGCTATTAGGATTATGAGTGTTTCTTTTTAAATTTACAAAGTGTATAAAAGTGCGCCGAAATCTGTTTCGCCGGGTCCCTCGAATCTCTAGATCAGCCCTGCAAGTTGGGAAATAAGTTATTTCGAATATTTACAAGAACTAGCATTAATTATTTAGGATAACTTGGTTCATAATTGCATACGGATAACGTTATTACCATAAACAGATTATACCAGGTGGCGCAGCTGCTAGATACACAATTCTTGTGTAAAGGATTTCTAAAGGTGACATTTCCCCACTAATCTCAAAAAAGAAGAAAATGTTGATGGCTTACTAGATAACCACAGAATTGCATAAAATACACTTCCGTGTCAACTTTTAAAAATTGCTACCCAAAATGTTTAAAGCCCGGAGCTATAGCCCAGTGGTTAAGGTGGCCCAAGTAAAACCAAAGTATCGTGTGCTTTATTTGTTTTCCAAAATTAGCGTTTGTGAGTGAGATTTGAGTCAGAAATGCTTCACTGGAAGGTACATTCTATTTTGGTCAGAAGTTGTTCCTGACTTTTGCTAGAAATGGCCATAGACGGCCAGAGACGGTGGAAACAAACTGTCTGAGGCGTAGAAACATTAGACCTATACAAGGAGTTATGGTCTGGAGTGCTATTTCACATGACAGCAGGAGTACTCTCGTCGTTATCCCACAACCTTGGCAGCAAATGGTACATCAGACCTGTGATTGTACCGGTTGTGGGGTCTTCTTGAGCAATATTCCACGCACATTTTCCAACAGGATAACGTTCGTACCCATACCGCTGCTATCTACAACTTGCTTGTGTCGAATGCAAAGAGAGTGACAGCGCGCTTTTACTCTGTATCAGATAAAAGAATGTCTGGAACAACAAAAAGGAAAATATGAAGAATCAAGATGGTAGAATGAGATATTTCACTTAGCCGCCATCAGTCGGCGAAGAAAGATGAAATGAATGAAAATAGACCAGCAATGTGAAAAAATGTTGGATCAGTAAGGTAGTAGGTACTTCAAATAATTAACAATATGTTAGGTTAGAATATCCGAAGGATATTTGTGTTTTGCTCTAGGAAAAGGTGAGCGCCGCAAAGAGCTGATACAGCTGTTTGGATGTAATACTACAGAAAGGAAAAAAAATTGTTGCAAGTTTTTTGATATAATTTTGTATAGTATCAATTTGAAGATTTCTGTGAATATATGAATTTGGGATGAACCAAGGTGCATTAATAATTTCACGAAGGGTTTTATTTTGAATAACTTGGATCTTTTTATGTGGGTTTTAGCGGCGTGTCCCCATACCGAACTGGCGTAAAGTAAAGTAGGTCTAAGGATGAACTTGTATAAAATAAGCTTATTGTTGATTCAGAAGACAAACAACAAAAATCAGCGTTAATTCACAAAATTTTCACAGGACTAGTTTCGATGGTTTTACCGAACCATTGCGGTTTTGCAGCTGAAGATGATGGTTCGGTAAAACCATCGAAACTAGTCCTGTGAAAATTTTGTGAATTAACGCTGATTTTTGTTGTTTGTCTTCTGAATCAGTATTTATTCGGCGTGTTATTGTGTCTTAAGCTTATTGTTGATAGTCAGATTGCTACGTCTGCCGAGGAGAGGACGCATAGTAGCTATTGAGATATTGAATTTCCTGATAGTTTCGTGTAAATGTTGCTGAAAAGTTGCTATCTACAAAACATCGACCGGTTGGCTTGCCCGGTGAGATCATCTGATCTTTCTTCCACTGAGCACGTAGGCAATATGACTGGATCACAAATCCAGCATCATCCACAAGCAGCACGGACCGTTGCTGATTTGATTAACCAAGTGCAACAGGCATGAAACTCCATGCCACAAAAAGACATAGGCACATGCACGACACAATGCTGACAACTATAGGGATTATTAATGTACAATCATTTCACATTTGAAATGACATTACTCGAGCACACGTTAATTTGTGACATTGAAATAAAAATCTAATACTACAAATGCTTTGCCTACATTTCATTTCTCTCCGCTAATTTCTTCTTGGTGCTGGGATTTCATTTTCCATCAATGTATTTTAATTTTTGTCAGTGCCTTTTTCTTTTCACATGTCCTTTAATAGCTTATTGAGACTTACATGTTATTTGATTGTGCTTTATTCAATTCCTAGGATTATAAGAACTATTTTTAATGCCTGTGAATTGAAGTCTATTTTTGTGCTTTAACATTTTTCTAATACATTCGCAATATCTGTGTATGATGAAAACGGGCCGAATTTGCTTAAATCCTCTGATAAACGGGAAATATATGTTCGGTGTTACTTACATTCATTTACAGAAACCTTATTACAGAAACCTAGACCTTTATTTATACCAGTCAGAGAAAGAACCTTACTTTTCAGAATAAATTGTTTAAATCGAAGACATCGTCACTTCCTAAAACCCAATAAATAAGATGGTTCTTTTGTTACAGAGGTGGCATATATGATGAACCTAGATGCAGCAGTTCAGAACTTGATCATGCTGTTACTGTTGTTGGATATGGAACAGAAAATGGAGTAGATTACTGGCTAGCAAAAAACAGGTATAAACAATTCATTTCGGTACAATAATTTTTAAAAATTTTATCATTCAATTTAAGAATACCTAAGATTAAATTCGGTTGAGAAATTGTTGATATCATCATAGTGTATGTTTTCACGAAAATCTGTTCAGAGCTTCTGGTAAAGTAACAAGCCTTGATAAGCATAATTATGTTCATTACATCATCATTATAGAGGGGCTATGCACCAAGCGATTTTGCATAGCTATTTATATCTTGAAATAATGCAAAAAGCATTGAGAAGCACATGTTGATACAGTGTGAGGAAGTCGAGAAAAGTCAATGCTCATTTTAGCGACGCGATATTTATAGAGTCAGTTTTTTTTTTTTTTAAATTTTAAATTGTAATTAGGTAAAAAATATGAAAACTTTTAAGATACATCTTCTAAATCACACATCAATATTGGTGTCATGGGCACCCTACGAGTTTATATAACTGATCACATCTTTAGTCAATGGACAAAGCAGACCGACGAGAAGTACATGTTGGCAGCAGCAAGCGAATCCGAAAAAAAAAAAAAAAAAAAAAAAAAAAAAAAAAAAAAAGAATTAATTTGTTCGTTCAAAAAAAGAGTAAAAAGTTCTTTAGTCTGACTCACGGAAAATCACTCGCAATACTAAGCTTACGCAAGACGGCATGATGCGGATTAATTTGGAAAGACGCAGTCCAGTAAAATTAATATAAATAATCTACACTTTTAGAAGAGAAAAGGGGAAATATACAAATTAAAATGAAGAATTATGGGATTACAGCTAACTTTACTTATAATTTTGAGTTTCATATATATAGCTAAATAAATATAAATTCAAAATTAAATTTTTAATACAAATGAAAATGAAGAGTAAAAATGGAAATGAAGAGTAGAAAAATAGAAAATGAAGAGTAGAAACTACTGTAATTATAGACTTAATAAAGATGAAATACTTGGAAAATAAAAACTTGCTATTGTAATTACTAACTTTAAAACTTATTAACTACTTTAAAAACTTACTAAACTTACTAAACTTTAAAACTTACTAAACTTGGCAGAAAATCTATTTAGAAATAATAAAAATCTAAATATATTTAATTATTGCTAATTCTATGGACAAAGGTTGACTTATCAAACGGAATTGAGGCTTCTCGATTATAACCCAGTGAAATATTTCAATTTGATTAATTCATATTAATAAAATTTATTTTCAGATTTACGAAAGAAATTCCTCCATACGATCAGATTTCGAGAGCACCCGAATGACGGGCAAAATATTGATAAAACAGATTGTCGGTCAAATACTTGAACCAAAAGTAGGCAAAAATTAAATATAAATTACACTTCCAACAACTACAAATTAAAAACTGTATATTTACAATGTACAAGCAAAAATATTATCATGTGACACAAGGGATTAATATTGTTAGATGCGTTATCGTTAGATTTAGGCGCTGAAGGTCCATTTTCACCCTTTTTTTTTCTAAATATATATATAGTGATATATACAAGTAATTAATAAATATATATGTATTTCTTTTTTAGTTGGGGTACGAACTGGGGCAATAAAGGATACATCAAAATGGTCAGAAACAAAAATAACCAATGTGGAATTGCAACAAAGGCCAGTTTCCCAAGACTGTGATTGTTGTCTGTATAAGAATAATTTGAAAATAAAAATTTTTACCAACATTAGCCGTCCTGAAATCTTTACAAATAACTCCAATTTATTATAAAAAATAAAATATGCGCTGTACTTTCAAAGTTTTACATATTTTTATTTCAAAGTGGCTCAGCTCTGTGCGGAGGCAATTTCTTAGGTTTATTAAAGATTTTTTATCAGCAGGAAATGAGTTTCGATAGGTGGCCATCACCTAAGCTACTGTCAATTTAATGAATTTGTGCATATTTTTATAAAAGACATCGTTTCTTTTGAATAGCAGTTTGAATAGTTTTGTGGATGAATAGCAGTGATTTTATACTCAACATTGCTGCCAAAAAAATACTTATTACACATAAGAGAAAAATAAATTCCTCTTAGTGACTTTCAGTGTTTTCTATGCGACATATTGACATAATCAAATAATTTTATGTTGTTTCAATAGAAATTTTAATTTAGAGAAAACACATATGCTTACATACAAAAGCTTACTAATTCTTTAACGAAATTTTGAAGGTGATAATACATAATTAAATTTTTATTCAACAGTAGATGGCAGCACGTGAAAGTAGTATCATTTTGATAATCTTGCATTTTCCAAAATATTTGCTTCAATTTTTTACTTTTCAATAAAATTACATATATATTTTCAAGCTGCACTTCTGTAGATGATTTAAATCCATAAATACATTTTATTAAGAGAAGAAAATGTTTCTTCCGAACAAATGGGAATATTTGGAAATTTCGTTTGTGTGCTGCCATCTTGTGCTGAAATTTAGTTCTACAGCAGCATCCTTCCCTCATTTTGTACGTACAATACCCGTTTCTTATACAAATCCGTTCCAAGCATAGAGTTTATTAAGCGGTTCAGTTTAATTTTTAATTATTTGAATAGTTAGTAATACAAGTATAATAAATGCAAAAATTGTTGAGAATCGTTTTTAGATACTATCCACTGAAACATAGTAGATCTCATTCTGGAAGCTCGTCAGGAAAGTTCGATTCCCATTTTAGGGGAGAACGATTCCCCCCACCACCACCTCATGCAAACAATGATATTCTTTCTTTGTTGTTTAAAGCAAACATTTTTTTTCCTGCCTTTTTTTTTTTTTTTTTTTTTTTTTTTGTTAAAATGAAAAACATTATTAACCAACTAAATTAAATTTTAAGTTAAAATATTTAAAAATTATGCTTATTAAACATTATAAAAATATAGATAATTAATAAGGAGAATAAGAATAAAATTAACCAAGAAAAAAGTTCAAATTTATATTTATTTTCTGTCTGAAATTTAAAATTTGGTAGCATAATTTGAATAGGATTTTAAATTTGGTACCCATTTATCTGGGTTTTCTTTGCAACTCAAATATATTGACAGCTAAACATTAAGACACAATAACACGCTAATTCAAAAGTCAAACAACAAAAATCAGCGTTACATTTACAAAATTTTCACAGGACTAGTTTCGATGGTTTTACCGAACCACCATCTTCAGCTGCAAAACCGCAAATGAACCAGATAGGAAATAATGATTAGATAAGATAAGAAAGCCTGGACAAGAATAAGCAAGTGGCGCCATCTGTTGGCAAAACCATAACTAAAACATAATTTCTTTAAAGGCCGAAGGCAAATTTGGATTGGAATTAGGATCTTTAACTAGAACAGAAAGATTTTTATGAATGTGAAATGCCTCTAGAAAATCCAGTTCTCCAATGGAAGATGTTTTTTGAATAATTTTGGCAGTAGAAAAACTGAAAGTGTGGTTTTCGGACCAACAATGTTGAGCAACAGAAGACTTCTGTGTTTCCTTTTTTCTAACATATGCCTAATGTTCCTTGACGCGAAATTTTAAGGCTCTCTTAGTTTGGCCAATATAAATTAAACCACACTAGCAAGGAATCCTATAAATACCCCAGGAATTCATATCCGGAATGGGGTCCTTGAGTATGGAACTCGGAATTTTATTGATGGGAGAATAAACAACCCGAAAGTTAAATTTCTGCAAAATATGTGCAACTTTATAGCTAATTGATGGAAAGAAGGGAATGACAACAGAATTTTTATAATCTCCTAAAACAAGAGTGTGCCTTTTAGAGTGTTGAGATGAGAATTTTTTAACTGCTTGATTAATAATGTTGGGTGGAAAGCCCCTGTCAATAGCTATTGCTTTTAAATAATTTAGTTCTTCATCAAGGGCTAGTTTGAAGGAGCAAACTTGAAGAGCACGGAAAACATAGGAATAAAATGAAGCTAACTTTTGTTTAGTCGGATGACATGATTTAAAGTGTGGTGGAAGGCAAACCAATGAAGGTTTGCCTTCCACCACACTTTAAATTTATTTTAACTGAAAATTTAAAATAAACAAATCATGAAGACCTTCTAAGTTTTCAAAGAAAGTTTAACTAGTAGGACTTGAGATTAAATAATAAAAGCCTAGTGTCTTTTTCTTATTTATTAAATTTTTCTTCGGAGCATAAATAAAAATACCTATATTTGCATGGAAATAATTACAACAAATATCTCTATTTCTTACTATATCTTGACACTTGATAGCGTTTTGATTCGAGTGAGGTCGGAGAGAAATCACTAGAAATTGTCTTAGATTGCAAATGCTCATGGGTCAATCGTGTTCTTTCCTTATTAATTTTCAATTGTGAAAACTCTCTGTTCACATATAAATGTATTTTAAAACAGAGCGATTATTCTTAGCTCAAAAATTCATAACTGAGTTTTATTTTTTGACGAGTCCGAATAAAAGATAATAAAATATGCATCTTCAAATAAGATTTTATATCACATTGCAAAATAATTAGTTCTATTTATGGATATTCCGGCGCGTTGCTCATGCTTGTTTTTGAATGTAAACTCGAACTTCAAATAACTAAATTCATAAAATCTTTGCAATACCGCATTTGAAAGAAATGCATAATTGAAATGTCTTGGCGGACTGCATAAAACTGTTTCGGGGGCTGCAAACGGCAATCGGGCCGTCAGTTTGAAACCACTGCTATAAGGGTTTAATTTCTCACATACTTTAAATTTTATCCATGCCGATTAAGAGTCTGTTGCAAAATAGAAAATGGCTCAAGAATTAGTCTTTAATACCTTCACTAACATCTACGAGAATACTGAATCTACCGTCTACGAAATACTAGTCGGCAAAGTGAGTTTACTTGCCAATCACAAGGTAAAGTTCTAATTAAATGCCTTACCTAAATCATCGATTACGAATGCATGAGATGTTTAGGTGTTCGGAGCACAGGAAGGGACGATGAGTTATTTCACAAAACGTAGATACAGTAACTAAATGTTTAGAATGCAGAACTATTTTAGTTGGTTTGTTCGCTTGGTAAATGTTTAAAATGGATTGCTCAAATTCTTGTTCGGCGACTCCTGCAAGACTATTTAAAAATGGTGGTGTTTTACTTGAACGTTCAGAACGGGTGAGTATTATTTATCTAGTTGTGAGTGTTCGTCCCAGTTGGCAGAGAGAGCAAAAATATTATTTCATGTGCCAAGTATAAGCATCGTGGGAATTTATTTATAGCTAAAAGTAATCTGTTATATCTATATTTGAATAATAAAGTAACAAATAATTCAAAAGCGCAAAGATGTAAACATGATTTGGGCGCATGTGAAGGAACATACCATATCGGTTTTGACAGCGAGCAATGTTATTTTGGATACAGCGCTCTCAAGTAACGGACCTTCATTTTTCTAGTTGCAGGAAACGTGAAGATGTTTTAACTAGGTGTTCGAAATTGTGATTATTATTTGTTTACATGACAAATAATTAAAGCAACATCAACATCTTTAAACATATTCTAAATTTTTTAGAGCATTCACTCTCTGACGAAGACTTAAGTTGCTTAACACTGAGAGAGTGTGAAAGGAAATTTTTAATACTAACGCCATACAATTTTGCCTTAAGTTAGTTAAGTTAGTTAAAAGAGGTCTAAGCACACCTTCGAAAAATATACACCGAGAGGGCAAAATATTGTACATCAAAACTACCATTCCAACATTTTATTAAAGCCGCTGGACATTAACAGTTCGACATATAGACTCGCATTCCGGCGAATTGGCTACCTTGAATTGACCTATTCACACTATTTTTACTCCTCGGTTTTATCAGTAAAAAAATCTGATGTGTACACCACATGACTTCCTTGTGCAGGATATTAAATTATACGCATTTTTTCTTGCATTTCATTTAAACTTATTGGATTGAATTAAATCTACTTCGCCGACAGCGCATAAACCCCAACAGAATAAATGCATTCTTTAAAATTCACTCTATTTGTTTACCATAGCGACACTCTGGCGCTAGGTTCACTTAACAGTATTATATTTAGTTCATATTATACCTCAGAATGCACAAAATTTATATCATTCAAAGAATTATCTAATCGTTGCCACATGTTCTATTCAAATACTATAATAAAGCTAGAACGATGTATAAAAAAAATTAAGTAAACAAAGCAAAAAAAAGAAATGAAACAGTTTTTCACAGGCCATTGAGTATTTCTCATTCAATTAATTCAGTTCTCACTTCGCGACAAGGCAAAATTACATAAAAACTCAAAATATCTGTATTAAAAATTACGAAGTAAATCTTAAACACTTATTTCCTCGAAAAAATTCCAGAAAGGATTAAGCATGATTTAATTCGAAATAATAAATGAAGGCGTTATCTTTGTTGTTGCGAAGCTAAGTTTCTCTAGATTGGCAACAAATCCATTATTATGCTGTTTCAAATGTAAACAAGCATTGGCCGCCATCAAAAAAATTATTAGGCTTAACGGCACCTTAAACTACTTTACATCACTAACTCAAAGACTAACTTTAAAATTGTTGATAATTCTAAACATATTGCATACAGATTTACTAAAAGGCATAAAAACCTTAACCGGAAGATAAAAACAACATAATTTAATAATTTTTAAGGGGTGTTAGAACCCCAAAATTTTCAAAAAATTGTGATTTCGGATTTTTGCATTTTCAAATTCTCCACACATTTATCTTTTCTAAAAATACCATTCTTTAATCTGTATGAAAATTAGAACTGTAAAAAATTCTAGTTTTAATTTGTCATCTACTGCTTTGATCAATGAGGAATTTTACATAAAAACGCGCTTTTCTCCAAACGTGATTTTTTTTTATACTCGATGTATCTTTTCTCAGGAACTACTGCTCACAGGATCTAAACTTTTTATGACTTATTTATTAGGTTTCCTAATATTTACTGAAATGAGCTAAAAATTTTTTTTTAAATTTTCTTGTGTGAGAAAAGTGCTAAATTTTACTATGCCTAACAAAATATTCTGTAATTTATTCTAAAATTAAAAATGCTTCCAAAGCTCATTTCAGTATAATCAAATAGGTATACTTTAATTACAGAAAAAATTTCAAGCTTGTATCTACAGCAGATTTTGAGAAAAGGTACATCGAAAATGGCCAATTTAACATTGTCGGTATAGGGGTTTCTGATACCCCTTAAAGCAAAAATGTACAATTTACAAACATATAAGAATAAAAAAAAAAACTGAGATCACTGAGCCGGGTAACAGAGTGTATATATATATAAATATATAAAAAATATTATTTTTAAGACCAAATAGATCTTACAGCACAGTACTTATTAGCTTTTCAATTTTAATTTTATGTAAATATATTTATATAAGTTTGGCGTGGCCGATTGCAACCAAAACACTAGGTGCACATCTACATGTTATTGCAGTCCTATATACAAAATTTCAACGTTCTGAGGCTACTCGTTTTTGAGTTATGCGAGATACGTATGTACGTACGTACGTATATACGTTCGTACAGACGCCACTAAAAATTCTCTGCAGAATTCATTTAAAGCAGTTTTATAATTTTTTTGGAGGAAAAGAGTCTTTTATTCTGTTCTTACGTACAGATATCACGCAAAACTATCGTTAAATTGCATTCGAAAGCGGTCAAAATGGATATTTTCGTTGAAATAGGCTGCCTGAAACTTTTCGTGATTACAATAGTTCCTTTTTACTTCGTACAAGGAAATGTAAAGGGAGAAACATATACGAGGAAATTATTAAGCTACTATGATACTCGTTTCAGAGGCCTGCCGGAAAATTTGCTTTCTCTGTACCAAAACTACGGCATGGTTCCTAGTTCGGCAAAGCTTGTTATCTAGACTCTCCCCCCGTCCTTCGGATGCAACGATAATTCTAATAAATGTAAAGATTTCATATAGGGTTACATAATCAAAAAACAGTGGAATCTGAAATATTTTCATTTCATTTTAATATCTCAAAGACAAATTTATCATTAAAATTTTGGGAAATTCAAAAGAAAAATAATAAAACATTAAGATCTATAAAAATTGCAAAAGTATAAAATATCTCATGTTTATCTATGTATCTCATTACAATCTATGTAACTTAAAGTAATGGTGAAATTCAAGAGTTAACCTAAGACTATGAACTGGCTCTAACTGAAGCTGGCTTAGAATTTATCACCGGGCTAACAATTAAATTTTGGCAGAAATAACGCGAAGTAGAAGAATCACAATCACAAAAATGACGAAACCTAGTAATATGGTCTCCAGAGACAGAAACACGTTCCGTCTTGCAATTCAGACACATCATCTTGAATACTTTCTAACTGATTTACATTTCTGGTGAGGAAACTGAAAAAGAGAAGTTATACTGAAGTTCTAACTCATAATAACTCGTTAATTAAAGTAATAACCCTATAAATTTCCTGTAGCACAGAAATTCACGAAATTAAATAAATTTTCCGCAGGTACACTAGAATTTTGTTAAGTTATGATTTTAATCAGTATTCGAAATTCTTTTGTCTTACTCGTACAGAAAAAAACAGCACCGGGTGAAAATGTTTAGCCGTCTGGTTGTGGCAATTTCAAAAATCGCCAAGTTTGGCACGTTTTGTGCCCTAGGCATAACTCTCAAGAGATAGTGCACTATGCAAGCAGGTAAGAAATATAAATTGAATAAAAACTAAAAATTTTTTACTTACTCTAATTTTTTCCAGTCGGCGTGTAGACGTTGATAATATCCTTTAAAGAAGCACGAAACACTTCGTCATCTAACGAATGACCATTCAGTTTTCTCCACGTAAATTCGAATAAATACGAATAAAAAAATATTGATACCAGTAAAAGTTTCTTATTTTGTTTCATTCCGTACTAAAATGAAACTTATCTATCTTCTCATGAATAAAAATCCGTCTCTGATAAATTTAGACTTTTTAAAAGCACAGACACAAAATACTCCATTACAGTTTTTTACATAGAATTCATAACACATTCTTCTGAAGTTGCCATTCCGGAAAGCATAACTCTTTTCCCTTTATTAAGTTCTGGAGATATTTATTTTTATTTATCGTCTGTGAAAGTCATTTTAATTTTTACAGTTTTTCGAATAACTTATTCGAAGCTTATATAGCTTATTCGAAGCTTATATACCTATTTATTATTAATTTTCACAAATATTCGAAGCTTGTATAGCTTATAATTAATTCGAGAGAGCTTATTCAAATAAATTCGAATAAGCTCTGACGCTAATCATTGACGTCACTAGCCTTCCTTCATGCACCTTATAACGAAAAGCTTTCCCTGGTCACATATCAAGACAGGTTTCCAATCTTAGTGCAGTTATCGCCACTTGGCGTATTAAGTGGGTGAACAGCAATTCTTTAGAGATGTCACTTTTTAAAAAGGAAATCTCATCTTAACTGTCCAAAAAAAAAAAAAAAAGTTCTGTTAACCTCCATCTAACAATAATTAGGTTGTTTTATAGTTTAAAAATACAGGCTTTTCTTTAACTTATTATAATAATATTACAATTACCAAATATCTTTACACAATATATCTGAGAAAAGACAAAGATAGGACAATACAGACAAAGAAAGAAACGAAAACGTTTTGACGCATTCTTTTTTTATAATATAAACGTTCATTTTCCTTGCATTGCACGTGAAGCTGTCATTGCGTCTGTTACTTATTTAAAATTTTCACATTGTTTTATGTCTTGAAATTATAAATTAAAATTAATGACCTAAAACTGCAATAGTATATTACAGTACAAGGGAAAAAATGACATTTTAATTCACGTGTGATCTTGGATTTACGCAATACTTATAGCGTCCCACAAAATTTTTGTAAATATTATGGGGTCCTGGGGGTCGCGAAAAATCTCGGTGATCAAAAGGGGTCGCGACTGAAAAAAGTTTAAGAAACCCTGCTCTAAATCATAAGAATTTCATCAACGAGGGATGTCTAAAGTACTGTAAAGGAGGAAAATGTACGCAGGAAATTTGTAGGGTTTCCTCTTAGTTCATTTAACCAATTATTTAAATTTTTATCTTTTCTGAATTCCTCAACTTCATTTCCTCGCCAGAAACGATAATAATTTAAAGTTAATTGAAGTGAGTGAGTATTTAAACGGGTGAATCTTGGAGTTTATTCAGAGCGTGTTTTCTCTAGCCAGCGCAAGTTTCTTTTCTGACCTTGCTATTACGCGAGTTGCTGTTACGCCTTTTGGCCATCTGAATAATTATCTACAAACTAACTAATACTATAATTATTAGTTAGGTTGTCCAGTCCACCTAGTTAAGCCCTAACTTAAGGAGCTAGACCAGCACTACTCTTCTCGATTTGGATTTATTGTGTTACGAATTCTTAGTTTGCACCGGAAGTTGTCGGTGTTATAATAAAGCAGGAAGTACGTGTCTTTTTCTGTTCATAGTTGAAAATAATAAAGGATTATTTTCGCCCTTTCTTCTCAGCTGGTATTATTTCACGCCTGTGCAGGAAATCTCCAGGTTCATTAGTAGGATCTGGATTAGTTTATGTGGCCAAAGAGAGTAAGATCCTATAAATTTAGGTAAAACACTAATTAAGATTATTTAATGAAAGAATTGTTTGTGAATTAAATGCAAACAAGAATCAACATAGGCATCAATAAAATATTTTATTCAAAAACATTAATAAAGATTATAACAAACAAAGTGTATTTACAGTTGTGCTAAAAACTTTCATCAACTTCTATAAATTAAGTTGAGGAAAACAATATCCACAATGAACAGTGTTGTTCGTTGTACAGTAATAGTTCTGGTGGAGTTTTGTTGAAAGCCATGCATTCCCGAGCTTAAAAACGGATATTCTGTCATAAATTAAAAGAATTGTGAATTGGAACTTTGGGCTAGTAAATAGGTAGAGAAATATATTAATTAAGCGTTATGTCAAGCAGGACTGTCCATTAATGGATTTTCATTTAGTGAACTGTCTGTGAATGGAATGTCTGTCTGATTGAGGACTGTCTGTTAATGGATTGCCAGTTAATGAACTGTCCGTCTGATTTAGGACTGTCTGTTAATGGATTGTCTGTTAGTGAACTGTCTGCTAATGAATTGTTAATGGATTGTCTATCTGATTTAGGACTATCTGTTAATAGATTGTCTATTAGTGAACTGTCTGTTAATGGAATGTCTGTCTGATTTAGGACTGTCTGTTAATGAATTGTCAGTTAGTGAACTGTCTGTTAATGGATTGTTAATGGAATATCTGTCTGAGTTAGGACTGTCTGTTAATGGATTGTTAATGGAATGGCTTCTTGATTTAGGCCTGTCTGTTAATGGAGTGTCCGTTAACCGAGGTTCGGCTGCAGGTTAAAAAACAAGGCGCGAAGTGTAACCGTATTCGCTTGGATATAAGAAGATAAAATTTAACTTAAAGTGCTCATCTGAGGAAGGCTTTCATCAACTAAAAACTTTCATCAACTTCTATAAATTAAGTTGGCCTAGCATTTGGAAAGAAATTATAATTTAACCCTTTACATTAAAACGAAACCTCTGGGGACCAGCTCCGAACGTGTTATGAGAATATAAATGAATATCCTAAGCATAATATTATTCTCTAAAACCTAATATGGCAAATTCCATCAATATGACAACCAAAAATTTAATCAAAATATTTCATGCACTCAATAAATCTACGAAGAGTTGAGTTTCAAATTCTAAGTTCTAAAAGCAAATATTTTCAAATCGAAAGTAAAGTTAAATTATATATTTTTTACAGCCTGGTATAACATGTCTTGCAATCTTCAAGTCGTTCATCATATTCTTGTACTATTGTGTCATATTCCTATCCTATTTTTTTCATTTGGTAATGTGTAACAAATTAGCTATTTCGAAGATACTCTTTGCATTGATCTCTCGTTTACTTTCTGATTGCCCGCACTCGCATGAAAAGTATCTCAGAATAGGAGAAAAATACTTATTTGGATACATTTACAGCTCGTAGGTACCGTTCTGTTCATAAATAATAATAAATAGAAGCACCGAAGTGCATAGGTAGTTTATTATTGGGTCTAAAATGTACCAAAAAGACAGTATTTCTGTCGCAATAGAAATTACGGATAATCAGAAAGTACCATATTTTGCTTTATCGCATTGTAGAAAGCTGCAATAAATCTTAGGTTTCTTTTGTCATGTCTAAGACAACTACCTCCACAGGAGACCCAAATCGTCTGAAACTTCAGTAAATTTACTTAGTTTCTTTATCTGGGCTATTTAATTATTTTTCTTGTAGAAGATATTTTAAGCATATTAAACTCATGCACATACTCTTTAAAAAAACACCAAAATTTAAGAGATTGTCTTATATTTCGGCCGATACGGGAATTATTTCATATAAAAATCAGTTTTTTACGCAATATTAAAATTACATTTTTGATGACTCCAGTTTGTTTACTTTGGTATGCAAATTAAAAGTAATGAGGCTAAAAGGGTATCTTAGAAACATTTAACCGACTGACAGTCAACAAATTGATTTCCTCTCCTCCAACGTACTAGATGGCGCCACCTCTCAGTAAGGTTGGTCTCATTAAATTCATGATTTTCTTTGCAGGCCATGTTTTTATAAAAGGAGGCATGTTTTCAGCCTCCTTTTATATCTAAATTTCAATGCTGGACTTTTTTACTAAATAATTACATCTTAGTTAAACATGAGTACATATTGAAGTGTAATATTCAATTTCAAAAGCATGTAACTTTTGTGAGAGCATACTGACAAAATAAGTTGTTTGAACTGGAAACAAGCTCGCCCATGACGATAAAATGAAACACAATCCCGATAATATCCTCATGCACATGTTCTGAATGCTGCCTGTTCTCTAATCATACCCACACCTCTCTTAAGAGCGATTAATAGCAGTACATTACTGATGCACCATTTACCAACGTGTTTGTTTGTTTAGTATAAGACGAGTCCTTTTGCGCCTGGTGGAAGAATGAAAGTCCATAGTGGAGCAGCTTGGCTCTGGTAAAATCATTGATGCATGTTTCAAGACTTTATTCCAGCTCCTCTACTATTTCGTCTTCAGGGAATTCGACAGAGTAGGACCTGATTTTCCTCGAATGCTTTCGACAGTCCACATTGTACCACCAATCGCAGATTCTCTTCTTCTGGTTGAAGATGGTACCATTAGGGCAGAGGAAACTGTGACGTGGAGAGAGATTGCCTCCCGGACACATGTGCCATACCTAAAGCAAAGAACGTACCAGTTTAATTTTCAACGGATTGTTTTGTAATAGATCACACTTGATGTGTATTTCATATAAAAAATAAACATTTTGCACACTTTTTGTAAGAACACACACACACTTTTTGTACACTTTGTACTTTATGAGAACACACACACTTTTTGCACACAAAAGTGTTTGTTTGCTTTATGATCACAAAAGTGGGCACAACCTTTTGCACACAAAAATGTTTCTTTTGTTTTGCACACTTTTTGTGACGCGCGCAAACCATTACAGCATTTGTAAGCTCATCTGGAATCACAATCAAATGCAAGATGTTAAAATTTGCGAAAGAAGAACACTTTTCAACGGACGAAATCTTTTCAGCCTCTCTGTAAAAAGAATAAAGAATTATCAAAACGAGTATTGTTTTTTAAGGAGTTGACTCTGTTACTTAGTAAAGAAGACACAGTTAAAGTTTTACTAGCATACTACCAGTTGAAAAGTAAATAAATTTAAGTATAAGGATTTCTCAGTGTGAATTTATAATGTTTACCAGATGTAAAACTGAAAATAGGAACAGCTGTATCGTAAACCTTAAAATTTAAAAGGTGCATAAAAATTAACTTGTAATCTGAAAACTTTACATTACACTTTTAGAGACTGAAGAAGAGTTTTATTTCATTTTCTGAATTAAAAAACATAAACTTTTAAGATAAAAAAATCGAATATAAATACCTCATGACTTCCTTTGTTCACCTATTAAATTGTATATATTATTTATCGCATTTCATTTATACTTATTTCTTCGAATTATTGTAACTCAATCAACAGATCCTTCAAGGCACGTCAAAATGACATCCAAATTTGCAAATTTTGATTCTTAAAAATATGAATTCACAAGAAGAAAAACCACAGCTTTCCCTGCAGTTTATTAAACTGATCGAAGAGCTGAACATTTAATTTTAATTTTTCATCTATTTCTAACAAACTACTGTGAATAATTGCTCCAGACCTTACTAGATGGCGCCACATCTCAAGTAAGTTTCGTCTTAATACGGCCCCTTTTATATCTCATGATTCCTTTTAAATTTTAATGCTGCAGGGGAGTAGCTAGAGGGGGGCAAGGGGGCATCTGTCCCCGGGCGCAGAATCCAAGGGGCGCCAAACTGATGTTACAACATTTTAGAATTAAATGTTTTCCATCCTTGGCAAGCAGTAGGGGGCGCTAAATCTTCAGTTGCCCCTGGGCGCTGAAAACTCTAGCTACGACCCTGTAATGCTGGACTTTTTTTTATATTTCATCGCCTTAGTGTACATACCTTCACTGAGCAGGAACACAGGTAGTTCATACTAGTTAATCGCGGCATACAGCTTGAACTGGAACTGAAACCTAGAGCTGAAGATTGCTTTATCGGCGTTCGATTGGATTGGATTATTTAATTATGGCAAAGCACACGAGGGCTATCTGCCTAAAGGGAGGGATGCCTTCGTGGAGGACTTTCTAAGGCAAACTGGCTCGTATACACGTTACACATGGGGAAAACCACGAAAACGCCCATGCAGCCAGCCCCTTCGCGGAATTCGAAACTTGGGCCGAACTGGCCCCATTTACACTAAGGAATTTAATTTAATGCAATGTAAGGAATTTAATTTAATGCAACGTAAGGAATTTAATTTAATGCAATATAAGGAATTTAATATAATGCAATGCAAGGAATTAGCCCTTGTGGGCTATGGACTTGTTATCAATACAATGATTTGATTTATTGCCTTGCCAGCGACTGCGAGTTCGAATTGCAGGGAAAAACTTTTCAGTTTTCCTCTCCCAATTTGACAATTATTAACTTTGTTTACCTGAAATTACAGATTTTGGATAATTTTATTTGTTTACTAAATGTCATTGCTCGTGCTTTCATTCAAGTACTTAACAAAAATTTATCTGAATATGCTTCATATTTTATGTATAGTTTTGAAATATCTTGAAATGCAAGTTTTAATGATTTCACAATATGTAATACCGAATGTGCATCTACCATTTATTAACATCTTTATTTCGCTCCCAGGTATTGATTTATGTTTCTTCTCGTGTACCATTTATTTTATTATTTTATTGCCGCACTCTTAGTAGATTATCTTACAAGTAATTTCATCAGAGCCGTTCCTAAGCCATTGGCTGCCCGCGTACTTTCCTAAAATTGCCGCCTCCAAATTAAAAAAAAAAAGTGCTCAATGATTAATAGCATTTTTATTTCATACTTACTAAGTACTTATATATCACAAACTAAATACCAAGTTTGTCATTTAGTTTGTTTAGTCTAAATACCAAGTCTTGTTAGTCTAAATACCATGTCAAGTTTAGTCTAAATACCAAGTTTGGTGCCATTTCAGTTCATATGACAAGTTACGATATTACATATTTAGGCGAGGTATCGCGAGAGTCCAGCCGCCCCTGATTTTGTCCTCCGGCGTACTTTTACCTCTGCAGCCTCGCTAGGAACGGCCCTGAATTTCATGTTAAATATAGGGTGATCTTTTTTAAAGTGACAGTGTTTGGAGCGCCCTAAAGCGCGATCTAATAGCCGAAATGGCACCAAACTTGGTATTTAGACTAATCAAGAATAGGACATCAAGACATACAATCGTACAGTTAAATTATTAATGTTTATTTACTACATTAACTTCCCCGGTGAGGATGACTCTATCATCAGTGAAGTTTTGGCGCAACAGCTGCTTTACCTTATTACTAATGTGTGGCGGAGCACGATCCTGCATAAAGATTGTCTGTTGGAGACGGTTTCTTTGCTGAAGTTGTGGAACAACAATCGTTTGCAGCATTTCATGGTACCTTTCTTCATTTATGGTGCACGTTTCGGGTCCTGTCGGAGTGATGGTCTCAAAAAAGAATGGCCCAATTACAAATTCGGCTGTAAAACCACACCAAACAGTGACCTTTGGGGAATTTAATAAGATATCGTGCACGGTGTGGGCTGCTCAGAAGCCCAAATTCGGCTATATTGTGTGTTTACCGACCCATTGAGATAAAAATGGCACTCATCTCCCCACAGAATGTGCCATGGGAAAGCATCATCAATTTCTACCCTGGCAAGAAACGATAGACCGAATGTCACTCGCTTATCATAATCACTTGGTTTCAGTACGTGCAAGCGGCTGATTTTGTAGGGGTAAAATCCAAAATTCTCCATACCGTGGAAAAATTCATGTCCACTTGTCGAGCTACACCTCGGGCGCTGCTAGTACTAGCAATGGTTCCCTGCGATCCTTCGACAATTGCAGTTGCCACGTCAGTTATTACATCTTCTGATACTGGTTTGCGTCCTCTCCCAGCGCGAATGGTCAGTGACCCCGTTTCATCAAACTTCTTAATCATTTTCTTTTAAGACCATTCAGCGATAAAGGTCCCTTTCGTAATTTTTTTCTGGTTCGAGAGTCGCGAAGACCTGCGGATGCATTACATTGATTCATGTAATACAGCTTTACCAGTAACGCACGTTCCGGTAACGTGAGAGGTTACAGCAGCACCCCAAAATGCCCTAGCGACGATTTTTAGAACTAAAAGTTTTTTTCACGGAATCATTTTCCCCATGTCTTGATTAGTCTAAATACCAAGTTTGGTGCCATTTCGGCTATTAGATCACGCTACAGGGCGCTCCAAACACTGTCACTTTAAAAATGATCACCCTGTACGTTTTTAATCTTGAAAAGATATCATCTCCTGATTATATATATTAAATTTTAGAGTGATATTATATTTTAAAACATAATGGTTTTCAGAAAAAAAAAAAAAAAAAAAAAAAAACCTCTCAAAAATAAATTCCAATTCATATTAGTACCTAGTAAATATTTTTAATTATTAAATCTTATTAATTTTTTTTTCATAACTAGCTTGACATACAGCAGAACAAGAGCGTAACAAGAGACATATGTAGTGTTTGATAACTAAGTTCACAGTTAATCTAAATCCTACTATCAACTAAATATTTATGTATTTCTTTTTATTCGATATTATAAATTGATTAACTCTTAATTCCCTTATTCAGCAAATCATTAAAGATGTAGTTTTGTTTTCAAGTGAAACTAATTTTGTTTTTTTGGTATGAATAAAATTAAATTTCTAGCATACTAATATCCATCTCTCACACACTTTTTGAAAAAGCATGTTTATTCACATCATATAACCTTTTGGTTGTATTATTTCTCTACATATTTTTAAAATTTTGCTTAATTTGAAATAAATTTATTAAACTTCGTCTTCAGATTTTAATGTTTTCATATAATTTTACCAATACTTGTTAACACATTTGTTTAAAATTACTAATCAATTATTGATAATTATGTACATTCTTATATTATTTTTAATTATTAAATGATACAGTTCTGGACTTTTTAATTTTTCTATTTCAACATTTATTAATTTGCTAACCAACAGATGGCAGCACGAACAAGAAATAAAAATTCTCAACCCTTTTTATTATTTCGACTGTTTAGCGACGCTATTTTGCCTTTAATCACGCAAAATCACCTAAAACTGCTGATCGCTGTAATGATTCATGAAGATGAACGGTTACCAAATACATTTAAAACTTAATTACTTAAATTGTTAAGTAAAATTAAAATTATTATTAAATTTTAATTCAGTAATCCTTTTAGAACCCTACCGAAATGAAGTCTTACAAAGGGTAAAAATATAAAAGACATGTACTTAGGATAAAAATCTTTTGCATGTAACGATACGTGATAGTAATGATCCACATATAAGTTTTGATTTTAAATGAAGACAACAGAAATAAAAACATAAAACTTAACGAAAATTTAGTGACTTTTATATTTCAATATTATTAAGTGATGAATCTGCAGATCCCATGTGGTCTAGTGGTTAGGATTCCTGGCTTTCACCCAGGCGGCCCGGGTTCGATTCCCGGCATGGGAAGGCTTTTATTTTCTTTCATTTAAAAAAAATAATTAATGTCTTTTATATATGAAATATGAATGTCATGGCA